TTCCAAGTTCCCGGCTTGCGTCGAAAATCTTAAAATTTTCTCTTCACGGCTGCCAAACAACCAGCCTCTCGAGCCGTGAGCCGTGAGCCGTGAATCGACTCTTGCCGTCTCACCGCTCGCCTCTTCCCACACACCAAAAGAACTTGTCCAACAAACACACGCAAACACACAGGCATTTCGCCCAGCTCCGACTCTCCAATCGATATCGGGATTGTGCCGCCAGTTTAAACACCTTCTGTGTGTTGTGCTGTTGTTCCAAGCCCTGTCCAAGCCTATCACCAATACAAATACATCAATTTTTTTTGTGTTTGTTGCTGTGCGTTGCCCATGCGCGTCTCCTCGTTGGCATCATCTCTCCCTTGTTCTCGGCTCACTTGACCTTGATTTTTTTTCTTCTTTTCTTTTTCTAGCTTTTGACCACTCTTTCTTTCTTTTTTTTTCTTAGTATTTTTCTTCCTTCTTTTAGCCTCTCTATTCTTTTTGTTCTTCTCCCACTCGTCTGCTTCCTTCTCGAGGCGTCTTTAACTTTTCTATCCCCTTCGTCCATTCTCTCTACTTCTTATTCCTCTCCGATACCCCTGCTCGATTTTTTGTTCTTCGTCGGCGGACGCGCTGGCCCCCACAGTCGGACGCATGTAGGTCACGGACAGACACTTTCACGCCTCGACCGAAAAAAAAATTCCTGTCCAATTTCTTCAAAAAAAAGAGAGGACAATTCCAGTCTTTACTTGGCTACGCAAGCCCTAAGTCAGGATCAGGTCTTTTCTTGCGCCATGCGCATACGAATCGAACTTTGTTCCTTTCGTTTCGCCTAGTCCGCTCCACTCCATCTCCATCTTCACACAGCTAAAGCAGCGATGGATGACGCCACGAGGCTGATCATTGACCTCCAAGCCAAACTCGCCGAGCTCGACAACAAGGTCGCCGCGTACCGACAAGACCTGGCAGACGAGTTCAACCGATACTCGCAAGAGTTGCTGACCAATTTGGATCCCGCCGTGTCTGCCCGAGTCCAGGACGCCGTTGCGAATTCGCTGGGCTCGTTCTCGGCTATCAGCCCTGCACTAACAGCAGCAGGCGGCTGGGGTAGGCCATCAGCAGCGATACCGATGGAGCCGATTGACACTGTGGCGCCCACGCCAGGTCTGGCAACACCCACGCCAGCACCAGAAACACCCACCGAAGCCTCAGCGACCCCAGCGGCGGTACCGACACCAACACCACAATCACCGACGCCAACACTATTAACAACAACACCACCACCCACGACAACAGCCGGCTTCTACCGAGCTGAGTCACCACCACATCAAATTGATCAAATTGATCTTGATGCACCGAGTCCGAGTCTGATGCCTGTTTCTGCTCCTGCTGGTTCCTCCCCCCCTGTTCCTGTCGCTCATTGTCCCTCCACCTCGTCCACATTGATCAATCCCGACACCACCACGACTGGAAGTAGTAATAATATTAATACTCGTGCCTCCGACTCCACCATAACGGCAAGCGCCGCTACTCCCTCTGCTCCTGCAGCAGCACCAGCAGCCGCATCCCATTCCTCCGCCGATCACGAGGGCCCGCCTCCCACTTCCGGCTTACCTCGACCCTCGACGCCACCACCCCATCCATCACCTTCCTCCTCTTCGTCACAACCCACGCCGTCTCCCTATGACCCCCAAGGCATTGACCACATGCCCGATTCGCCAGACGACCGAGAAGCCGAGCTTCGTGGGGTTTTTACCCCTACTTTTTTGCCCCTCGTAGACGGCTCCTATAATCGTCTTAGATCACCGCCCACCCCTCCAAGGTCGAGGTCGTCACATCGCTCCATTACTCCTGCAACAATAACAAACCTCCCGACAATGGATGTTGCAGGCTCTATTGCTGCCGCCGCGGCTGCGGGCGACCTAGACGCCGTCGACAGTGCTGCCTCGAGTTCCCCCTCCTCGGTGCAATTGCTCACGAGACCCTCCCCCGGCCGCCGCGCCACGGACGATGTGTCAACCTCGTCAGCGCTCTCGAACAAGAGCGACTCGAAATCCAGGAGGAGCGCGCTTCGTCGGTCGTCGAATCCCACAAAACCTCAGAGCCCGCGACGAGTCCGCTTCGACGTCGGCGGCAACCAAGTGCTGCCCACCTCTTCACCCTCGACCAGTCTCCAGGACGTAAGGCAACATTTATCAGGCGCCAGCAGTAATTCGTACACCGTCTCGGGACTCAAAGAGGAGGCGGATCCCACCACTCCCCTCAGCGCTGCGGTTATCCTTGGCCTTTCGGATCTAGAAGCGCGCGAAGATCCCCCGCCGAAAAAAGTGTCGTCTTCCCAGGCGTTAAGGGCGCTGTCCAAGTTGCCCCTCGACTCGAGTACGGTCTGGATCCCTGTCACCCAGGATCCTGACCCGGATGCGGACGAGGAGGATGTGGTAATACCCGCTGTGGCACTGTCCAAGGCTAAGAATTCCTTGACCTCGTTACGGGAGGCGGATAAGTTCCGACGGACGCCTGGTGGGTCGGCGGCGAAGAGGCCGCCGGATCGTGTGAGGACGTTGTTGGGTGCTCCGGTGGAGCAGCGGGGCTGGCGAGAGGAGGAGGAAGACCAGGATTCGGACGATTCTTCGGACGACGATTTCCTCTCCATGGCGTCGAAATCTAAGTCTGCCAAGAGACCGCCTGCTTCTGCATCTCCCGAGCGAAAGGTCGCCCCCGCGGCCCCTCCGGAAGCGAGCGCAACTTCGACGAGTGCGAAAGAAGTATCGAAATCGACAGCTGACACTTTACCATCGGACAGTGCGCAGCGAGCGAAGGAAAGTGTGGCGGCAGAGTCTTCGGAGACGAAACAGAAATCTGCCGAGCCGACATCGAGGGACTACGAGGATTTCGATGGAGGGGATGTGTTTGATTTCGAGGTGTCGGAAGGAATGCCGAAACCCGCGCCTCCCCAGGTTTTTGAACCGGACGAGGAAGCCGAATCCGAAGCGGAAGACGAACCAGATCAACCCCGTGGCCCGCTGAATCTATACTCTACATCTCCCGCCGTGGACATCCCCCCTCCCGCTCCTCAGACTCCACAGCCATCAGCATCAGCCTCAGGACCAGCTCCGGCCCCGGCCCCGACCTCAACCCCAGCCCTAACGGCCAGGTTCCAAGTCCCCACCGTAGGCTCCTACAAAGGCCGCTCCATAACCATGCCCGTCGTCGTCAACCCCGAAGTGCACGAACGCGCGGCCGCCCTGGGCGACTTCAACACGTTTGTCGGAGGGCTCGACGGCCGCAGCGGTATGGACGATGGCGACCTGAGCAGCTTCCGCGCGAGCTTGTCCGGGCCGCTGGTGTTTTCGGGGACGCCGAGGAGTTTGACGGAGAGGTTTTTGATGGAGGAGGCTATGGGGCTGGGGGAGAGGGATAACGAGCCGGTTGTTTTGAAGTAGCGAACGCCGCAATGGCCGGCCGACAGTACCTAGTCCGGCGATTGCTCCCGGCCCTCCAAAGTCGTCTTTGCTCTTTCCTTCCAACATCTATACCTCTTATATTTCCGAGTTCTCCTCCGGATCATTACGGCAATGGAGTGGTTCTTTCCGTTCCTTCATATTTTATGTCTTTACTTTTTCTTTGTTTTCTCTGCGCATAAGCTATCTATCTAAACCGGGTCCATCACTGGGTATGGGAAAGAGGGAAGTGGGAAGTAATTCATTCATCTTTTGTTGGCAAAATATACAAAACACAGGAATTTCTTTTTTCCTTTTCCTTTTCCTTTTTTTTTCTTTTCCAAATGCAAAGAAGGGGGGATATATGGGTTTTATAGGCGCATCCTATTGGGGGTCCTCATCATTTTCTTTTTTCCCTTCATTTTCGATGTTGTTTTGTCCTCTTCATTTTACTACCCATTCACTTCTCTTTTGTTGTGTGCTTGTCATCATCATCATCATTATCATCATCATCATCATCATCCGAAACGGCTGCAGAGGTGTGCAATGGGGCGGGCATTATATCATACAAGGGGCCAAAGTACAATAAGGGTAGGGTTCATTTGAGATTTTATGTCTACGTGTCCGTTTTGAGTCTTTTATTTTTCTTTTCCCTTGTGTTTGTTTCATCTTCTATTTTTCGATCTTCTTATCCTCGAGAGGATTCCGTATGTATATATAGTTGTGAGAAGAGAAGGAGGTGTTGTATAAGTCTGGAGACTTAAGACGTCTGGGGATGGAAGTGTTTTGATAGTATCGGTTAGGAAGGACTTGATAATATAGATGTGGGTTTATCTATCTGGAGTGTCTCCCCTCCTGGGGAGTGAGCTTGGTGTATGAATTGGTGATGTATGCGTAGTACTGACATGTCTGGATGCCTCGTGATGTGTCTTGATATTGATGTGTTTCGGTGAGCACGTGTACTTTCTCCCTCCTTGTCGAGGGCGGCAATTGGGAATCTCGGTAAATGTTACTTTGAAGAATGTGATGAATACTTCAGATAGTACGCCTGGTGTCACCCGGAATATTGAGCACCCGGTCTTGTCCCGGGACTTTGGGAGGCGAACATCGAATAGAATGCCGAGGCTTCCCATACGCGTACATTGTAAACTATTAAAAGAACCGGAACACGGAAAGTGGACTGAGGTGAGAAGTGACAGAAAAAAAAATCAATGGAGAGTGACCTCTGTACCTTTGAACAGTGAAAGCTGCCAGTTGTCGGCGACTCAAATGTTCAATTGTTAGTGGACAATCGCTGCGTGCGACGTTTTGTCCCTGGGCGCCGTGCAGTGGGAAGTACCTTGTATCCTGGGGTCTGGACCTTGCTTAGAAACTTTTTCCTTTTGATTGAGCCGCATTTGGATTTGACCCGAGACCAAGCTTGCCACCGCGAACGAGTCGACGACGAACAAATTGAACAATACCCCAACGACAGAAAGCAAAAATACAAAATTCAACGCCCGATAAACTTACGCATAGAGACGATTCAATATTCTGTGTGCGCAAAAGAAAAGCTATATTAATTTCAAGACATCCGTCACAATGGGAGGAGTCAATCTTGAAGTCTTCAGGGTACATCAGACCACTTTACCACCCACCACCGCACACCAACACCAACAGCAGCAACTGCACCTTCCCCTTCTCTTCTACGCAACCACCAGGCTGACCATTTGCGAAAATTGAATAGTTCGGCGTATACCTCATGTTCCCCATCGGATTCATGTACTACTTCGGCACGAACCTCGACAGCCGCTTCGCCGTGGAGGGATTCTGGCCCAAGGCGGAGGAGACGAACAAGGTGCCGCATTCGAGGGACGAGATCAAGGCCGAGTATGAGAAGATTGTGGCGAGGCAGAGGGTTTTGATGGAGAGGAGGGCCATGCAGCAGGCGGCGAGGAGGGACGATGGAGGCGAGGAGTAAGGAATCGAACAGCACACACACCGCGGGCCATACACTCCCTTTCCGAACGACTTGGTGAAGACGATACCGGACGAAGGAGGAAGCCTGCGGTGATAAAGAAGCGAATGAGAGGGAAGAGAAGAATGTCAACAAATAATCTCTCGGCGGGAAATGCCATCGGCGAGGAGAAACAACCCCCCGTGTTGTACGATTACGGCATTGCGAAGAAGGAAGGGGATCGGCACGTCTCGTGGCGCTTTTAGATACAGGCGTTCATATGTTTGGCGCTTGCTGTTCTGATTTGGGAAATCAAGTCTGGGACATTCTCTCCCCTCTTTTCATCATGGTGGATATTTCATTCGCTTGTATAGTATGTATATAATGTACATGGGATATATTGTTTTTGTAAGGTCTAGGATTCTATGATGCACATCTATGGAACAAAGGGATAAGAAAAAGAGATAAAATGAAGAAGAAAACCAGGTATTTGTACACATATTCATAAACCCTCCTCAAACATGAGTCTTTTCTCCTTCATCAAGGCAGAATCAAGCTATCCTGCACCTTCGCCCACGCTTCATCCGAAATCCCTCCCTTCTCAGCATTGATAAACGTCCCCACAACCTCCGGGAAATCCTCCAACGCCTCCAAAAACTTGCCCAACTCCTCCGCAACGGCCCCATCCTCCACCGCAACCCTCATATCCTCCTTGGCCCTCCAAACCAAATCCACCCCCTTCGGCTCAACCCCCAACCTCTCCCTCACAACCTGCGCAACGCTCCCCGTCTCCCCCGCAACAGTCCACACGACAACTTCTTCCTCATCTTCCTCCCCCTCCACATCCAACACACCCTCCTCCTCCAACACAGCACCCATCACCTCCTCCTCCCACTCCGCCAGCGCCGTTCCCTCGTCCTTCTTCTCAAGCACGATCCGTCCGCACTGCTCAAAGTAGAACAGCGTAGACCCGGGCTTCCCTCCCGCCTTCTTCACGAGACGGTTGAGCTCCTGCAGACTCCGCAGCCGGCTGTCCGTTTCGACGTCGAGGATGAGGGCGACGTTGCCCGGCATGACGGCCTCGACGGTCATTTTTTCGAGTGCGTCGCCTGAGAGAGAACGCGCTTGGCCGCGGGCTATGGCGCGCTCGATGAAGGCGGAGGTTACGTTGGCGGCTTTGGCGGCTGCTATGGCGGCGGCGAGGGCGGGGTTGTCGTTTTTGTAGTTGGGGCCGCCTTCTGTTGGTAGGGGAGAGTTCAAGAGTTAATTCGGGGTGAGTTATGAGGGAAGATTTTATTTTATTTATTTACAAAAAATTGGAGGATTAAGCGAGTTGTGTAAGTGAGGGTAAGGGGGATGAGAGAGGTTGTGAGAGACTATTTACTACGAAGAGGAGTGGTACATACTTCTAGTGGCGTCGGTTATGGCTTTCGCAAGGCCAATGTTTTGCGTGCTCCGTCTGCGGTCGGCGGCACCTTTCTCGTGTCGAATCTTGGACCACTTATTGTGACCGGCATTGAGGTATGAGGTGGTTGTGATGTTGCGGATGCTTGGCGCGCATTGAGAGAGGATGAGCCGGGCGGGAGACCGCGCAAGCAGGGATGGGGGGAAGGCCATTGATGTTGGCTAGTATGGGTGTCTCCGAGGGAGCCCTTTCAGGTATATTACAAGACAGGGCAATGGACCGGAGAGGGGAATCTCTTTGGATGTAAGTAAACCGGGGGTTGCAAATTCGCGATCTTGATGCTCCGATTTTTGAGAGATGAAATGAGTTTCTTTCCATCGGCTGGCACCAGTTGGCAACGGGCAGAACCACCGACCCCATTTCCCACAACAGCTTTTTTACTTTTTTACACGATTGAAACATGGTCGGAGTCTCAACCAGCATCCAGATTCGAGATGTTTCCCTTTCTCTATGGCCAAATGGTTAAGGCGTCCGACTGTTACCCACTCTCGTAGCGGAAAATCGGAAGATTCCAAGTTCGACCCTTGGTAGGGAAGTTCATTTTTCTTTTTTCGGGTCACATTTTACAGTCGCATTTAACTTCCCGGCGTGATTCTGGTGTTATTTTTGATCGTAACAGCTCCTTGTTCCATTTATATGGTGTGTCTTCTACGACATATTCGAGAATTTTTTTCCACAGGCAATGATTATAATCGTGCCGCAACCGAAAGCGCATACCCAATCATAGCGAATCGTTCCGCGATGTCTTCCTGCCGATCTGACGGCCTCGAGAGTACCATATCCGCAAAGGCAGGCGTCGACTGCGCCGGGAGGACAGCCTGCTCAAACCCAGGAGAGTAAACTCCCGCATAGCCCCAATCAACGAGCCACACTTTCCCTTGAGCGTCGAGGATGAGGTTTCGCGGCGCTACATCCTGATGGGCGAGCACTACGCTGCTGAATCTAAACCTGGGTGCGCTTTTAGGCAGCTGTTTAAACATTATGCAGACGTCAATCTTGTGATTGCACCAATCTTCGAGCTCCTGCAACGTCGCGAAGGGCCCGGCGCCGTGGTCTGTGAACCAAGGTCCCTAGAACTTGCGTCCTTACATGAATAGGTCCCGGCGGAAGGTCAAGGGGCGTCTTTTGCATAGCCTCGATCATAGTGATACAGTTTTGGTGCGGTGAAGAGCAGTTGTGGGAGCTCTTCGTCAGATATTGACGATAGGTCGAGCTCATCTAGTGGCAACGACGCACTATCGTCCCTGGCTTTAGGCTACGACGTTGGTTTCGTTAGCATGTCGGGAGATTCAAGAATAGAATACGGGTTCATTTACATATTTATACGGCTGAAGAAATCCACTCTTCAGAGTCTCTGCCGCAAGTACACCTGGTAGATTTACATATTGTTTCAGTGTTGCGGGGTCCCGGGGGCTTGTCGGAGTCCTTGGTCGAACTTTGGCAATCTTCGATGATAGGGATCCCATGCCGAGGTGTACATGGATTGAGGGGCGGAGGGAAAGGGCCCTCGTTCTTGTGTGTTGAGTCTCCGTCCTGAGTGCCCGATATAACGCCTGCTCATCTGTGAAAGCAGATGCTTGACGCCTGCGAGTATGGGAAGAATTCTGAAATAGACAGCCGTAGGAAGCCTGATATGACCCCGTTAATAAATCATCGCCCATTCTCTCTCCCATCAGTTAAATGGTGCTTGAGTCTGTGTTTGGTTCGTCACTCCAAAAGGTTACAGCTGGAGTGTGTTTGACGTTACACAACGTTTGGGTAGGGCCTTATATACTAGAGCGGAATACCGGGCTTGACGACGCCATTTTCCTTTCCTTTCAGCAGGGTTGCACTCGTTGGATTGATCAATGATATTGACTTGATCTTAACAGCGGAGTCTGCCTCTCTATGCATTGATCTGTAATATTATGTACTTTTATTCTCTCCAATATAATGCCATGTCCTTTTTCGCTTATGTTACTTCATTCTAATGTTCTCTCTCTTCCTTTACAAAAGCTAATTCCAGGCCTCACCACTGAGGCGAGACACGACACGACCGTTTGTTTTCTGTTTTGTTTTGTTCATTCTGTTCGAGAATGTGCTGGTGGTGTTTCGGAGAATTTCGTTCGATATCACTGATCCTAAACTGAGAGTCAACAGCCAGGCAACGGTCGAGAAAGTTCTTGGGTTTGGTAGTCCATTGGATGCCGTGTTTCCGGTGCAGTGGTACTCAACGACACTATTAGGCACCCATGGTTTTCTGAACATAGGGGCCGCCTCATGGATCAATTGATTTCATACCGTTTAATTCCGTTTGATCGCGTGCAACCCACTTCCAACGTCTGCTTCAACCACGCGCCCGAGATGCTGAGTTTTTCCCAACTCAACCTCATCTCACACAGCATATTTCCAACATGGGATTCTCATCCGTCCTCTGGTTCCTTCTCCTCCCCGTCCGGATTCCCTTTCGGCTTTTCCGCTGGTGGCTACGCTTCCTGTGGCGTCCAGTCCGGTTCCAATGGATTCTAATTCCCTGGCGCATCATCCTCGTCGCCCTAGCCCTTATCGGTCTACCTTCCGTCCTCGTGGGCCTAGTGGAGGGCATCTTCTTCCACACCTACATGGACTTCGTGTTCAACGTGTCCATCGAGCACTTTAAACAAAACGTAGCAACCTGCCAGTGGATGAACTCGCACTCCGTCTTTGGAGCCCCGGAGATCCTCGAAGCGGCTTTCGCGCCCTTCCATGTCGCTCAGATCCGCGAGCCGATAGAATGGTGGGAAAAGCTCGGTCTCAAGCGCTTTGATATTCCCAGCTTCGAGGAGGTAACCCCGGAGAACGACGTCCCCGCCGACCAGTTTGCGCGGCTGGACAGCTTGTACAGGAGGGTCCCGTGGAGCATGAAACCGAAGGAACCGTGGCACCACTGGATCTTTGCGTCGGGAAATTACCTCCATCTGGAGAATGCGCTTTTCGACGAGTGGGACAAGGCCTTTAACGAGCTGCTGCAGTATCACTATGCGAATCCCGCCGCGCACAACGCCACTTTCCAGTACGTCGCCTGTCCCCGAAGCTTCCTCTGCGACATCTGGAAGGTGCGCGGCCCGAGCCTAGTACACTTCACTACGGAAGTGCCACCACCCCCGGAGGAAGGGGAAGTCCCCTACGACCTGCCGGAGAGGCCGGTCGTTCCCGGCTACGACCCCGTGTACGTCAGGGTCTTTGAATTCCCGCGGATCGACTACTGGGAGAAATCTCTGCACCTCCCGCGAGATGTATTCCCCAGCTACTTCAACCAACTCCGGAGCGTGACCTCCAACCCCGGCGTCTGGATGACGGAGCCGGTCCACACCGACATGAAGCAAATCCTGTACCGCTTGTTTGAGCTCAGCGACGAGAAAAGGATAGAGCACCGCAAAACGTTCGGACGCCTCCGAGACCTCGAAGACTGGGTCTGGGACCAGATTGTCTGGATCGATCCCGCCGGGGACGATACGCTCATGGGCTACTACACCGCGGTCACGCGCATGGCCGCGCTTCTCGCATCATTCAGCGCCAAGCTGGTCTTTGTGCGCGGGGCGGAGTTGTTCTCGGCGTTCTTTGGGGTGTCAAAGGAGGATGACCTGGCTCGGCTGAAGAGGGAAGCTGAGGCCCAGGGTAACGAGCAGCAGGACAGAGCTCCTGGGAAGGGTTTTGAGGATATGTTTTGGGAGGCTTTGGGAGAGGTTATGGAGGAGATGGTTGCGAATATGTCCGAGTCCGATTTGGAGCTTGTTGCGCAGATGTTGGCTGAAAATAGGACGGGGGCGAAAAGGACGGGTTATGGGGATGACGATGATCAATATTCGATGACCCCAGAGCCTATTCTATGGTAAATACCCATGGATTTGTACGATAGATGTGGACGGCTAGACTGTATATTGTAATGTATGGATGGAGAACGGCTTTGGAAAGGGTCCCATGAAGAGTACTTCAATGTCAACGGAATATCAATGAGACTACTGCTACCAAAGTATCAACCAATGGTGGCGTACGTGTAGATACAATTTACCCTCAAGTTCTCGAACTCATACATCGCCAACGCCCCCAAAATGTAAACACCAACCAGGTGGCGTCCAGCGCCCATCCAGCCTAGATATCGAAACCGAACCCGTCGAGTTCTCTCCAGAACGGAGAGTAGTCTCATTTCTTTAGCTTGTTTCTCGGGCGGGGAACAACCTCCTCGTCGCTATAAACACGGAATGTCATCACCCTTTTGCCCTTCTTAAACAGACGCGCAGCCACATGAAGACGATGACCGTCGCCGCTAGGATGGGGTCTTCCTCTACGAGATTTTCAGCAGAGATTCGCAGGATGCTGAAAAGAGAGAGGGAAGTGGGAACTTACTGAAACTCGACCACATCCACCTCCGCCCATCTGGGGTCATCTTCAATCGTGCGTTCAATGGCATTCTCATACATTGCCACTGGTGTCGTGCCCTTCCAGACGTATTGGCGAGTCTTCGAAGCCCTGGCCGAGTGATTTTGGCGTGGAGAGGAACTTGGTACGCGCAGCGATGGTAGAGGCTGCGAAGCTGGTCCAGAAGCGAATGTTGGAAGCGCAGATCTCTGGATCGGAGAGGCCCTGGTGCGTGGAACGAGTAGCCTAGGCGAACGGATGGGCGTTCGTCTTCGAAAGGGGAGACGGATAAGACGGGATCTGGGCATCTTTGACTGTCGTATGGGAGCTTCTTTGCTGTGCTGGCGAGTTGCCATAGAGGAATCGAGGGTCAGTCGGACTCCAAGCCATGTTGTAGTCTCGTTCTCCCGGAGTTATTTATACAAGACTAGGTGACTGCAAGGCAAACAAAGTAGGCGGTCTTCGATCTCCCAGCCCGGCCATGTTGGCACAAGATGGTGTGTGGTTTGAGACCAGGAGGTAAGGAGGTAGGAGAGACGAGACGCTCCGTTTGAGTGTACGGAGACATTCTCTGGCCTGATAGGATAAACACTCAGCGCTTTGAGAGTGAGGAAAACAGCTTGCAACCCTCATCACGATTGCGACAACATAGATAGCCCAGTTGTGATTGAGAAAGTCAACGGGGGCCTATGGAACAACAGAGATGGAGGGGGTAATTGGACAGTATCATTGAATGTTGTTGTTTTGTTGTCTCGGGGAGGTGCCATCTCTGCTGGCGCTATGGACTTGCATTCATGCTGAGCCTCCGAGGGTTGGTGATACTGCATAAGAACCCCGCCCAATGAGATGAAATAGTGTATTACTGTTACTATTCCCGGATGCGCATGAAACTGTTACTGCAAGCCCTGCGGACGCAGAGGTGGTAGGTGAGAGGTGGGTGGAAGAAAACACCAACCTCCTGGATTTTTGGTAAATCCTGCCACTGGTTAAACCGGCCCACCTGATTATCCTCGGAATTGGGATCACCATTCCGGACTACGTCGGCCGGATTATCGGGGCAGACGACTGGAGCTCGCACACTCAGCGCCGAGACGGAGCCCGCCCAGTGCAACCGACTCCACATCCGCACCGGGATTTAATACTCTAGGCATACAATTTTCCTACTTTCATTTATTTTACAAACTCGTGCACTCCCCACCGGAGGTAGATGATGCAGCACTAGATTCCCGGCTTATAATGAGGGGTATTAAGGCCCTTTATCTGCGTGATGAGTACGTGAGTTCAGAGTAAGCCAAGCCCAGCCGCCAAGCTTCCGAGGATTCCAAAAAGGAAACACAACCAAACTTCCATCCCGTGGAGGGGGAAGACGCGTCACAACCGATCTCTCTCCTTTTCTTTCCCTTCTTTCCCATCAATTCGTGCAGGGCAATTCTCATCAAATTGCCTACTTAAAACTGATGATGTCTCCCAAATTGAATTTCAGCCGCACCTTCGCGGCGCTTCTTCTCATTCTTGCCTCCCCCGCCTCGGCCCAAAGCTGCGATGTTACAGCCATTACGCCCGACTACAAGGCCGCGGTGGCGCACGGTGGCTGGGAGTATCGGATCATCGCCAACGGGCTGAGGAGGCCGAGGGGCATCGTCGTCGATAGCAGCGGGGCTCTGCTGGTTGTTGATTCGGGGAGTGGGATTAAGAGGATTGTGTTGGAGGATCGGGGAGGGACTTGTTTTGCTGTGAGGGAGCAGACGACGCTGGTTGGGCTTTCTGAGGTATGTTTTATGGCTGTTCGAGATTCATGCGTATATTACGCTGCAAACCAGTTATTGCTGTGTCTTATATCATTTTATTCCATTTTCTGTCTCATTTTGCTAAGATCTTTCGAACCCAAGTTGAACCATGGCATCGCACTGGATAGCCAAAATGGCATCCTCTACGCATCCAGCTCAGATAAGGTCTACTCATGGGCCTACAACGCCTCAGCTGGCACCGTGAGCCAATCTCGTAACACGGTAGTAGAGGGTATGGACAACTCCGGCCACACCACACGCACTCTCCTCCTCTCCGCCAAGGTCCCCGGCACTCTCCTCGTCTCCCGCGGCAGCGACGGCAACGTCGACGAAGAAGCCAAGGACATCTCATCAGGCCACTGCCAAATCAAAGCCTTCAACCTCAGCAGCACCGCCCAAGACTTTACGTCCTCCGGCACAATCCTCGGCTGGGGTCTGCGAAACTCCGTCGGCGTCGCCGAGGACCCCGTCACGGGCGGCATCTGGAGCGTCGAGAACTCCGTCGACCAGTTGAGGCGGAACGGTCGCGACATTCACCAGGATAACCCCGGCGAGGAGATGAATTTCCACGGCTATCTGAACGGGACTTCTACGGAGGAGTCGGGGGGTAATTTCGGGTATCCGAGCTGCTTTGCGCTGTGGTCTACGGAGAATTTCCCTGATCGTGGGGATCTGAAGACGGGGGATCAGTTTGCGCCGTCGGCGGGGGATGGGGTGGATGATGGGACGTGTAACAGTGATTTTGTAGCGCCAAGGATTACGTTCCAGGCGCATACTGCGCCGTTGGATATCAAGTTTGCGGAGGATGGGTCGGAGGCCATCGTCTCGTTTCACGGAAGCTGTAAGAGCCTCTTCTTTCTTCTTCTTCTTTTTTTGCCCGCACCAAGTGTAAAATGGCAGATTCTACTGCATCCAGAGCTAACCGATTTCTAGGGAACCGAGATAATCCAGTTGGCTACGCGGTATCGAGCATTCCCTTTAAAGACGGTCAGCCCGTCGCGGCATCCGATAGCACGAGCGCCGCAGAGGCTATCCTGTCGAACGCGGATTTGGGTGACTGTCCTGGGAATTGCTTCCGGCCTGTTGGACTTGCGTGGGGGAGCGATGGGAGGCTCTTCATGACTTCTGATGCGACGGGGGAGATTTACGTGTTGCAGAAGACGGGGGCGACTGGTTCTTCTGGGGATGATGAGAATAGTGCTAATCATGTTAAGGGGAGGTCATGGTTTGCTTTGATTCCTGTGGGCATCTTGGCTTTGGCTCTGTTGTAAAGCTGGCTTGAGGAGGAGGGGAAGTGAGAGAAGCGAGATTGCAGGTGAAGGAATAAGTGCCTGGTGTCCTGGGTTCTACGACGAGGTATTAATGAGGTTAAGAGTACATTGATTTGATGATGTAAGATCAATTATCTTAGGAGTCACTATTGCCTTCTATTCTGTTGCCTGATCTCCTGTGTTGAGGAAACGATTTATGAAGCGTTTTATTTCCAGCCTCCCCGCCGGATGCTACGAACTGTTCATCAAGATCACTCTTGGCGGATGAGAATTAATAACTTTGCAATTGAGCAATTGCAGCATTGACGGACAATTGATGATTGGCAGCTAGGCGGCTCTGAAGTCTTAACACGGGACAATTATACCTGTGCAGACGCAGATGCTCCCAACATTTCATTTCCTGACGCCAGCCAAAGTACATTGTACATTGTATGTTGTACCTTTTTTTCCTCGACGCACGATTTTGATTTTGCTGTGTGGCAGCAGCTGCCGCTGATCAAGTTAGTGCAAGTCGAGTCCATCACTACACACCTCCATCTCCATCTCCATCTACATCCCCTGACTCTCATTACACCTTCACTTGGCATCGCGACCTTCCCAACCCGAGTGCAAGGCCTCGAATCTACCCAATAATACGAATCGTACCATCTCTCGACCTCCTCTCCGAGTCCATGACTGTCCCTCCCAAACTCGAAACCTCACCTCGACCTACCCCCTAAATCAAACACCCCAATGACGGAGTCGGGCACCTCGAACCTACCCGCGGGAAGCTTCCCTACCTCGCTGACTGCCGCCTCATCCACGGGCAACCCCGAGCTCGACCTCCCGAAGCTCCAGTCCCTGCCCCCAGAGCAGCAGGAGCTCTTCCTCCTAACCTTCGTCACCAACCTCAGCAAGCACGTCCACTCGCTCTCGCCTGACGACTGCACCGCCCAGCAGTTCTACCTCAAGAAGGAGATCTTCCAGATCCTCAACCTCCCCTCGCCCCAACCCTCCCGCGTCATACGAAACAATCTCGGTAGATGTCTGGCCTACGTCTTTTCCAGGGGCGACAGGAAGCTTCTCTTCGAAACCATCAATGAGCTCGTGGCTATTGTTGCCGGCGGCAAGCCCAAGTCCGATGCCGACCTGCGCGCGAAACATGCCGCCGTGTGCTGTCTCGGAGATGTCTTCGCCGCAGCCGGCGACAGCGCCATTGGTCTGCATCAGCTGTCGTGTACCAGTCTCATCAAGCTCTTGAAGTCGTCGCAGAACAATGCGGGACTTCGCGCCGCCGTCCTCGGGGCGCTGGGCAAGATTGCGGGGATGGTGGGCAGCAGTCTCGATGAGGGCATTGCTCGCGATATGTGGAAGCAGGCGAGGAACCATGCTGCTGGTGACAAGGCCTGGCTAGTCGTCGTGTCTTCGTGTCGCTGCCTAAAGAGCCTGGTCAAGAATACGCCGTACTTCCTCAACTCGAACGACTATGACAAGCTCGAGACGGCCATCTTCAAGGCCATCGATTCGCCGTCGCCTCAAGTGAGACACGCTGCTGCTGATTGCTTCGCCGAGGCTCTTGTCCAGAGCTTCTCCGATTTACCTCCCGCTACGGAGGCGCCTAAGCTGAAGAGGTCCAAGTCCAAGGCTATCAAGAGAACCCCGACGGGCCTCGTCGACGAAGATGATATTCCGTCGAGACCGCAGAGTCCTGCTCCGTCTGGAAAGTCGCGCATCTTGACGTATTCCTTCACCGAAGTACTGGAGATTCTCTCGAACCGCTACGTCCGATCTTCCACTTCGAACCGTGCGCGTGCCGGAATTGGTGTATGCTACGGCAAGCTCTTGCGGAGGCTTGGCGAGAAGGCCGTGGAGTCGAATTACCTCTCTCTCGTGGAGAACCTGGCCGTGGAGATCTTGGGCCACAATACCATTGCCAACAACCGGTACCGCTTGCTGATTTCGCGACGCATAGTTGAGGTCGTCCTCCACGATATTGTCGGCCACAAGGTGCTGGGAGAAGCTGGTCAGATTCAGGCTGCTACAGCCTTGATTAACAACATTCTCAAGAATTACCCACAGGCCCTGCCAGAACGACCCGAGCCTGCCAAGAACACGCTTACCACGGCCCTCGGAGCCCTCGCTTCCCTCATCAAAGCTCTCGGATCGGCCGCCAACAACTTTGCAGACATCTGTCGCGATGGTCTCCTCCAAGTCTTGCAGCATCCCAGCTACGCCGTCCAGGTCTACGCCTCGTCTTGCATGAAAACTTTTGTCCTTGCTTGCCCCCAGCAGCTGCTCCAATGCCTTACTATCTGTATGAATAGTTTAAGCCGAGAATTGACTCACCTCGGCACCGGGCGTAGTTCTCCCCGTCGATGTATCGGCTTTGCCCACGGATTGGCGGCAACTCTTAGTGCGAGCCCCTCGCGGCCGCTCTACGGATCGGTTGACGTCAATAGCCGGGTGCTCACCATGGCCACTAACCTACTCAAATCGAGCGGGCAGTCTGAGCTTCGTGTTTCCAGTACGCAGATCCAAGTTGCTTGGATCCTCATCGGTGGACTAATGTCACTCGGGCCGAACTTTGTCAAGATTCACCTCTCTCAGCTGCTTCTACTCTGGAAGAACGCCCTGCCGAAGCCGCTCGCAAAGGATAACACGTCTACACGAAGTCTTCTCGAGGCGTCTTTCCTCGCTCACGTTCGCGAGTGCGCCCTCGGCTCCATCCTCGCCTTTCTCCAGTTCAACCAGCGCCTTCTCACCGTAGACGTCTGCAAGCGGATAGCTACGATGCTCCAGAACACCACCGCGTTCCTCAGAACCCTCCCGTCGAAGAAGACTACGGACGACATCTCGCAGCGCCTGATCCCCGCGCTGCAGCTGCAGGACATTTATATGATGGTGCAGCGCCGAGTCCTCCAGTGCTACGTCAAGCTCGTGACTACGAGTCCCGCGGGCGGTAGCGAGGCGCTTCTGCAGTCGAACTTGCTTACGCTAGCTATTTCTCTATTTGCCGATCCTGAAAATTACGGGGCTAATTCCTTGAGTTCGTCGATTGCGTCGGCCGCGGGCACCTTTGAAACCATTTGGGATATTGGTGATAACTCTGGCTTCGGCGTGGCCGGGCTTGTGCGGGGATTCGATGTCAGGAGCCTCCCTGGGCAGCATGAAAACGTGTCGGACATTCCGTCGCTGGATGATGGTAGTCCCGAGGAGTCGATCGACAAGATCCTCCTTTCGCCCGTCTGCGGTACGCTCGAGCACGACGCATCGCTTTTGTACATTGGTGACCTCGACGGAGGCCCGGCTGCTCCTCCGGACCCGCCCATGACGGAGGTTGTTAACTTGGCTATCCAGCTCTTCGCCTTCGTCTTCCCTCTTACGCCTGCTAAAGTCCAGGAGAGCATCCTCGAGCAGATCAAGACTTTCTCGTCCGCCGGTCCACTCCAGCGCGACCCTGGGAGGAAAGCAGCCATCAATGTCAACGTATCGGCTGCGATCCTCTCCACGCTTCGAGTCGCCGCCAAGGAAACGAATGCGCCCTCAGGAGACATCACCAACGTGGCGGTGGAGAGGCTGATACAGGACACCATCCGTGATATCGTCATTGACGCGGACCCTTACATTCGAAGCATGGGCTACGCAGCCATGGCCCGTCTCTGCAACGCCTGTGGGAACGCTTTCACGAACCATGAGATCAAGTATCTCGTCGACACCATCGTCATCAACCGCGAGCCGAGCGCCCGAGCCGGCTGCGCCATGGCTCTTGGCGCGATCCAGAGCAAGGTCGGCAGCATGGCGTCGGGTTACCAGCTCAAGACGATCCTCGGCATCCTCATGTCGCTCTGCAACGACCCCCACCCGACCGTGCACTACTGGGCGCTCGAGGCCCTGACGTTGGCGTCGGATGCCGCGGGCCTCAGCTTCTCGCCGTATGTGCCCAGCACGCTCGGCATGCTCGCGCAGCTCTACTCGAACGACACCCACAACGCCGAGATTGCGTCGGCGGTGTCGATGAATTTGGAGATGGAAGTTTCTACGACTGCGGTTATCGCAAGGTGCGTCGACTCGCTGATCAATGTTCTGGGACCGGATCTGCAGGACTCGACTAAGTCGAGGGAGCTCATTTTGGGCTTGGTCGGGCAGTTTCAGAACGAGGAATCGCTGCTTTTACAGAACGCTAGTCTGGCGTGCTTGGAACACTTGTCTCTTTACGCGCCTGGATACGTGGTGTTTGCAGACTATGTGAGGACGTTGCAGAAGTACCTCAGCAGCGAGGATGCCCTGCTCCGCGATGCCGCGGTTGATGGTCTTTACAACATTATGAAGCGAGATCCGCGGGACGTCATTGCAGCGGCGGAGAAGGGCTTCGTGGAGCAGCTCTGGCTCGTCCTCGACACGGAGCCATCGCACGACGGTATCCGAAACATTATCCGCAACTGGATGCGCCAGACCTGCCTTACGGAGACGGAGCTCTGGCTGCAGAGATTTCAGGCCGTCTTGAAGATGACGCGCGCGAAGGTCAAGGAAGAGCAATCCTCGAGGACGAAGAGCAAGGCCGCGATGCCCGACCTCCGCGACGAGGAAGTAGCAGGCTTCGCCGCAGCAGCCGCGGGTGGCGCGGCCAGCGACGACAAGGGCGGAGCCGAGGGCGCCGACGTGGAGCCTCTGCGCTGGCAGGTGACGACATTCGCCATGAGCTGCATGAACGACATGTTCATCATCGTGTCCAAGGACGTGGCGACCAACGGCGAGTCGGCGGGCCAGACGGCGCTGCAGAACAAGCTCGCGGACGTGGTGCGCATGGCCTTCTCCGCCTCGACGTCGGGCGTGCTCGAGCTGCGCATCTGGGGCCTCAAGATCATCGGCGCTGTGCTCAAGATGTTCGGCCGGACGCCCGACCCGGATTTCGACGAGGCCATGCTGCTGGAGCAGTACCAGGCGCAGATTAGCTCGGCGCTGACGCCCGCCTTCGCGGCCGACTCGTCGCCCGAGCTCGCCGCCGAGGCTGTCAACGTGTGCGCGAGCTTCATCTCCACGGGCATCGTCACGGATATCGACCGCATGGGCCGCATCCTCAAGACGCTCGTCACGGGGCTCGAGAACTTCTCCCAAGAATCCAACGAGAACGCCAGCATTGGCGACCTAAAAGGCCTCAGCTCCAACGCCCAGGTCATGGTCAAGATGGCCGTGTTCGCGGCGTGGGCCGAGTTGCAGGTGGCCAGTTCGGAGCAGAAGTATCTTGTGGACGTCCTGCGGCCGCACATCGCGACGCTGACGCCGCTTTGGCTCGAGTCGCTGAGGGAGTTCTCGCGGTTGAGGTTTGAGCCGGATATTTCTATGACGTTGGGACCGCCTTCGCTTTCGGGTAGTCTTGATACGATTTACGCGGCTCTCAATAGGGAGACGTTACTTAAATTCTACCAAGATTCGTGGCTTAAGCTCGTTGATGCCATCGCCTCCCTTATCGAGCAAGACAGCGAATTTGTCTTTGACGCCCTCGACGGCAAAGCCTCCACACCCCCCGCCAACGGCACTACCGCCTCATCTTCCGCCGTCGCGACTCGAGGACCCGACATCAACTACCGCGACGAGCCCGTAGCCTTCTTCTTCGTCCTCTTCGGCATCGCCTTCGAAGCCCTCGCCACGAAACCAAGCCACAGCGACTCCCTCGAGCTCCAAGAACAAACCCTCTCGATCCTCAAAGCCCTGAAAAAGATCCTCCAGCCCAGCGTGTCGGGCCACGCCATCTACCGCGACGCTGTCTTCTCCGAGACCATGGACCTCCTCGACCGGCTTGTTCTCACGGACGGCCTCGACGTGCAGGGCCACATCGTCGAGATCGCCCGCGCGCTGTGCGTCGCGCACCCTTCTGCGCGGAAGAAGGGTCAGGTCGAGGAGGAGGAGGCGGATCTTTCGGAGGACATTGAGCAGCTTTTTGAGCTGACGCGCATTATCGTCCTCGTCATCGCGGGTTTGCTTCCTAATCTTACCACCGAGGGAGGCAGTGGCGCCAGCCAGCATCAACAACAACCGAGATACCAGATGACGGAGGAGGCTATCCTCCTTATCGGCACGGCGTTGGACGCTCTCGTCGACGCAGCAGAGGTCTTCCCCTCTATTATCAAGACGGACCTACACGCGTGCATCATCCACATCTTCGCCACCATCCTCGCCACGCCTACGAAATCGTGCCAAGAACTCATCGTGCCCCAGGCTCTACCGACGCTTAAACGTTTCGTGGCGAGCATGACGAGCTCTCGCCAGCAGCTCAAACAAGCCTCAACCTCCTCGTCTGGTTCCTCCCAGACGGACGTGCAGCTGCAAGGGTGTCTGAGAAAGTTCTTGACCATCTACCTCAAGGCGCAGAGGCGCGAGGAGCAGACTTCGCTGACGTGCGTCAGGAATTGTCTACTTGCCAGCACGATTCTGTTTACGGGGGGCGCGCAGGTGGGAGGGAATTGTTTGCCTGCTACGGATGGGGTTGTGGCGAGGTATCTTGAGGAGCTGCTCGATTGTCTTACCGACCGAATGGTACGTAATTTTGACTTTTCTTTCTTTTACTTCTTTGACTACGGGGTTCTCTATCTATCCCCTGTGTGTGTGTGTGTGTGTGTGTGTGTGTGTGTGCCAGCTAACAATATTGGTTTGTGTAATCTCAGACCGCCAAAATGGCAGCAAACTGCATCCGCTCCCTCCTCCTCCAGCCCTCCCCCACGCCGGCCGACCACTCCATCGCTCGGTACCTCTTCCCCCGCCTCGTCACCTTCGTGACCAACACAGAGCCCGAAGACCCCGAGCAGGCGCGAGCCCTCGTGGCACGCACGCTTGCCAATTACGTAGGCAGCCTGCGCCAACAGCAGAATCCCCAGAGCCAGAACCGTCTCACCGCGGGCGTGACGCTCGTGGTGTCGACGCTGCTGGCGAGGGCCTCGGGAGAAGGAGAGGACGCGTACGCCGATACCAAGGCGACGCTGCTAGAGCTGGCGGCCGTGGACCAGGCGTGCTTCAGGGCGGTGGTGGGGGGCTTGAGCGAGGCGCAGAGGGGGTTCCTTGAGGGCGTGATACGCGGGGCGCAGAGGGTGGAGGGTGGGGAGAGAGGGGGTGTTGGTGGTGGTGGAAGGGGAGGACAGCCTAGCATTGCGTTGAAAATGGACTTTGGGGCGTGAGGAAAGAATGGCGGGGGGACAGCGGAGGGCGGAGAGGAGAGGAGAGGAGAGGAGGGGAGGAGGGGGAAAAGAGAGACATGAACTGTCAGTTGATGTGTTTGTGCGAGTTTGGGGGTGACACCAGGAGGATAGCATTGGTTTGTCTGCTTTGGAATAGGAGAGGGTGTGTGGAGATGATCAAATGAGATGTAACTTTGCGAGGGTGTTGGAAAATGGATGTTGGGAATAAGAAACGAGACATAGATGGTAATGAAAATGAAATATTATTAGAGGCCCGTTGGAAATGAGAGCATGACAAGAAACGATAGTTGACAAGTCGGGTTATAGTCTGGCGGTGTCGAGAAGGGAACTCCGAAGGGGGGAAGGGGACCGAGAGAGTATGGATACACAGAGCTTGCCCTACCCTTGAGCCTCACAACTTTGGACGAATCGTTGTAAGAAGCTTCACCGGGGAAAGTCGGCCCATCCCAGTCCCAAAGACCCAACGGGAAGGAGAACAAAAAGAGGTAAAAATGCAGAAAGGAAGAGAATGCATGAAGCATGAAACAAAGCCTTTGTCCAAGCTGGCTAGAACCTAAAGGCATGCCATGCCGTCTTTCCCGCAGAGAAAAAGAAGCAAACTTACACTGAGGTTATCCTATAGGTAGAGCGCAGCGCCGAATTCCAAATCCCGATTCCCCAAGGGCAGGACCCAGGACGTAGGCATCTCGCTGCCTAAAAAAGAAGAAATAGGGATGTTGGAAGAACACAATCACAGAAGAAAAGGGAGTGACCTCGAGCAACAATCAAAAAAGCACTGCTTCCCCAGAATGCAACCCAGCAGGCGAACGAAAGCTGCAACTCGATCCGAACTCATCAAATACAAATCTTTCTGCGGAATATGCTTTAAGAGGGCGACCAGGAGCAGGCTGGATGTTGACCGGTTGAAACTCAAAAAGAAAATATAGCCATGGTTTGTCCACGTCATTCCATGCTGTTGGTTGCACCGCCGTAGTTCGTACATTTGAGCTCCTGAAAGATGTTTCCTCCTCTTCGGCCAAGTACCTTATACCAAGCTCATGTTTCGCCGGCCTCCTGCAGGATCAACAGCGTCTTGACAAGGGAATAAGGAAATGTGTTGTTAGCTGCGTAGGTGTCAAGGTGTGAAGGTGTGCTGTAGGTGCAGGGTGTTGCATATCAATCAAACAGCACAGCAGTTTCACTCGGAACCAAAACGGCCGCGTTCGTAAAAGTGTAACTACTACAACTCAAATGCCCATTTGAGGAAACATGCCGGTAGCGAAAAGAGAGGTAGAGTGTGGAAGCGATGGTGATACTGAAGCCAGGGAGTGTGAAGGACGTGGAAGAGAGCGTCTAATTTTGAGGCGGTATTTGTGCAAGGTCCCAGGTCATGCTGATCCCCTCCCCCCGTCTTGGCTCGAGGGCTGACGGCGCTTGATATGTGGGCTCACAGCAGTTGGGACGCCAGCTGATAGGACGGCGGAGGCACATCTTGTGTATCCCGGATGAGATCCCCGGTGCGTTTGTATGTGAGCCGTATGTGAGCAGGGCGGACATATTGGTGTGGGTGTCCTGTCAGTTTCTCTCCTAGACAAGATCTAGCCCAAACCGTCAGCAGCAGCTTGGTGCCGCGAACTCTTCTTATTCGACGTTTGGCCTGTCGCAATTCCGCAAGATTCTCGAGTCCCCGATGGTGGGGAGAACAACCTGCAGCCAGACTAGGGCTGTTGAAAGCCACCCATGCCGAAGATAACGCTGTGATTTGACAGCCACCTCTGTCACCTTATGCAAAGCACCAGCGCGTGAGACTTCCAGGTGTGTTGGAGCGACGTTAAACACCAGGCACGCTGCGGAGGCTGGCCTGAATAAACGAGACCGGAGAGCAGAGAAAATTCAAATTAAAGAAGAAAAAAAAAAGGAAAGGAAAAAAGGAAAGGAAAAAAGGTTCAATCCAACCCGGAGGAGCCCCGATAGCAATTCCCGCCTTGCGCCTCCACCACCACTACCGCAGACAAACTTGCCATTCCGAGAGTCTCGAATCAGAGACCAGAGATCGATAACATGGACACCCACTACTTCTTTTTCTTCCTCTCTTCCTTCTTCTTACTCTCCTTATCGTCTACAGTCCTCTTGTTGCTCGAGCCGTCCACAATGACCGGGACAGGGGGCAGCAGCGATTTCGATGAAGTGGCGGTCATTTTGTCCTTAGCCTTCTTGCTTGACCCATGCTCTTTAGAATCCCAACTATTCTCAGCCTTGGCCTTGGCCTTGTCTTTGCTCTTTGATTTTGCCTTTGAGCTGCCGCCGCCCTCGCCACTGCTTCCCTGTCCTTAAGTGGAGCTGTTAGATGGGCCTCCTCGTACAGAGGCGTAAGAAGATGAACGCGCGCTGGTGGGTGTAATAGCTCAGATAGACTCACCTTTGGCCTTTTTGTTGCTGTGCGACTTTGAAGGCTTCGGGCTCACAGCTTCGGGGTAACCGTAACCCGAACTCCCGTAATCCCATGCATGGCCGTCCGGCCCTGATCGGTACTCGGCATCGGAAAAGCAGTGACTGCTCACAAAGCCACGGCCATACATGTCAGAATGGGTGCCCTGGTTATAACCCCCACTTTCACCAGAGTTCGGGTACCCAGCCATGCTGTAGGCGCCGGCTCCGTACCCGTCGGTCCGGTAATAGGAATCGGCGCCAGTCATGCCAAGCCTTTCCATGCCCTCGTCAAGCGGCGTGCCCCCGTTGGCCGTGAAATAGTCCAGCCTTACCCCTCCGTCCACCGACATCGTACTCGGTGATCCCGGACTCCACTTAAACGATGATAGTTAGGTGAGAGCTCTCAGTCGGGAAGATTTAAGCAAGATAATGGGGGGCGGAAGAGAGAGAAAGAAAAAGAAAAAGGAGAAAAAGAAAGAAAAAAAGAGAGAAAGGCAGCAATTACTTACGTTATGAATCGAGGCATCAGATCTAAAATCCACTGGCGACGGAAACGACGAAGACACCGGTGATGGAAACGACCTAAGGGACTGACCGCTTTGCGTTGCCTCATGCATCGCCGTGGGCCCCATTGCCGTGGGCCCCTTAGGCCTACTACCTACGTTGATCAAGGTTCGAATCGAGATTTTCTCCTTCTCGTTCCTACCATCGGCAACGAGGTATCTGCCGTTGAAAAGACCACCATTGAGGAGCGCTGTCACTGTTAGTACATATGCCGTTGAATGATGCTATCGCCAGAATATCTAGGGGAGTACATGATTGTACGATGACTTACCGAAGGCCTTGCGGAATTCATCGTGTCCGATGATCCTCACCCACGCATGGGTGCTCGCATTGAAGACCTCTGCATAATCAACGTCGCACACCGTCCTCACGTAGTCCTTGAGGTCTTTCCATTGTGTGTTGAACGGCAGCTATACATTTGCACAGTCAGAGACGGACGGTATATCATGATGTGTTATGTATAAACAAGTCATAATGTTTGAGGAAAAGGGACGGTTTCCCATGTCCTGTTCATGCGAGAAGGGAAACAGCTGCAGTAATCGTAAGGCAGTGCGAATGTAACCTCTCTCCAGGAATATACTCACGTTGGAAATCGTGATGTAATAAACTCCCGTCTTATTACCCGGCTCGACCTCACGCATCGTAGTAGCATCAGATCCCATGGTGGAGACGAGAAGCAATAGGCTTGGCAATATCAACGATAGCCTTCTATTGCAGATACCCTGCGTAGGGGGAGCCGAAATATGCACGACGGATCTCTGGATCGTCCCGAGGCAATGGTTCGAGGGAGGTCTGGCAAAACTTGAGTCTAAGGTACGGTGCTGCGCAACAATAGCACACGACGTATAATGCTCATATGCCGGGTATTAACAAGATGGAACTGCACGAGAAGATAAAAAAGAAAAAGAAAAAGAAAAGAAAAAGAACTTGGGAGATGCAGCAGACTGGTTAGCAAGGGCTTGTCAGTCGAAATGAAGGTCAAAACCAAGAAACGAAGGAGTCAACCGGAAATATATATACGCCATCCTAGAGTTCCTTGAACCCTCACTACCCTTAACAAGGCCTCTTCTATTCCGCTCTTTCTCAAATGCAGGCTCGATCATTCGGGATTATCGCCCTGTTAAATCCAACCTAAAATCCGCCCCCAAGTGCCCGCGCACCCTTCCAAGGGAGGAAGCACGGCATCTTGTCAAGAAAAAAAAAGGCTCAGTGCCTCCCTTGGACGTGATTCGGGAGCAGTAGATATCACGAATGGAGAGGATCAACGAGCATGTGAGTGTGCTGCCGGCTAAGACTTCCGCGGGGCCAGTCGGCCATGGAAAATGTGAGCAGGGGTAAACCAGCCGAAACAATGTTCGCGGACCGATCCTATTTCCCGTAGTTACGGGCTGTTCCCGGTCCCTTCATCTATCTCAAATGACTGCTAATGTCAAGGATGGATCACAGGTCGGAGTGACGTTCGAAGCGATTGGAGATGGCTTTAGCTCAAAGGGGAGTGTGTGAGGGCCCAGATTGCATGCATTATTGGCTTGACGTCGTTCTGAGGGTGTGTGTGGCGTCTGTCTGGGGGAGGGGGTCTTTGACAGGCTGGGGTAGCAGGTACAACTGGGAGGATGCAAGCCGGACAGGAATAGCAGCACCAAATGGGTACACAAGAGATAGACCCCCCACCCATGTCTCTATGCTTTGGGGTATTTTTGGCGAATGCACCGTTCGGTACCAATATTTGATTCTGTCCAGGCGCTCGTTCGTCTGTGACAAAATCAGTCGGTTCCTACGACCAAAGTGAAGAAGAAAAAAATGCGAAAAGTGTGAAAGGTCCTTCAGTCTCATTAGGCAAGATTAGCATGCAAACAGCCGCAGATCTTATGATCGACGCGGTTTCTTATGGGAGAGGAGCTTCATCATCAAATTGACTTGAGGCTCCCCCAAACAAACACCCTGGTTGGAGGGTCTCTGCATGGCATGCCATGTCTGACTGGAAAATTACACAACCTTCACCAGAGAGGCGGAGTTTTGCCATCAACATAACCCAACGAGCATTAGAATAATGCGGCGATGCGTTTTCTCGGTAGCATCAGACATCCTAACTGCATCAACAACAAAGATGATGGAAGTTGACGAGCGCAATGGCGTATCGATGGCGGGTTCCAAACTGCGAAAGCCGTACCGGTTACCCGATAACTTGGGTCTGCCAAATTCGGAACACCGACCTCAATTGCATCCGTCGGCAGGAAGCTTGAAGTCGAAATGGAGGGCGAAAATGAAGGCCTTTTTGGGGTGGTTGCTGCAGGGCGCAAGACGGCAGTCGCTGGGCTTGCTAGCTAAAACGATCCGTCTGCAGCCAGGGGCGGGCTGAGCAAATGTGGCCTCTAGGAGTTTCCATGATAAGAGGAGAAGATTGTAGGCCCTAAATCCATGGATTAGGGTGCTTAGCGGTTGGCCTCGTCTTGCGGCGGCAGACTGACAGACAATATCAGATCGGCATATGTGAGCTACAAATTAGTGTTGCCTGGCTGAGCACTACTTGCCGAGAGAAGCGAAACGATGATTCTGGCGATGGTGGCCGCGTCTCTAGAGTTTCTTGAAGCTGAACGTATCATCGGGTCCAGATTGAGTATCATCCTCCATGTCAGTCAAAGAGCCGTTCCAATCCTCATTGGACTGAAGGACATTATCAATTGACAATGTATTCCCATACGAGGGGCTGAGCTGGACGTCCTTCCAATGGGGATGAGGATCTCCAGATTCCGCGAGAGAGGCAAGCAGGTACTGGTTGCTGTCACCCACATAGACCGTAGCGGGAGGGGTGTCTGAATTTACCCATACGGTCTGCCATTTCGGCGCGACTTTCTCGTCCGGAAAGAATGAAGCGCAATCCATCGGGCGAGGTCCGTTGGAGAGCGGATCCCAAACAAATACTACGCCGTGGTGATCTCGACCTTGGCAGGTAATAGAGAGAAGTTCGGGGATTGACGGATGCCATCGAAATGAGGCAATGTCTGACGAGAAGATGAGTACCGCGCGAAGCTCCATGGCTGAGAGGTCCCATATCCAGAGGGCCGTCGGTGAGTCTTCGATCCGAGAAGCTAAGAGGGTGGAGGAGGCATCGAAAGTACAGGAAGAACCGCCGAGACTGGGTTCGGATATGGTAATACTATTCGACGACGGGCCTGGTGGGGAGATGGGTTGCGTAACTCTCCCAAAAGCATGAACAACGCGCGCTGATGGGCTTTGGGGCATGTTCAGTTGTTCTTGCCAAATCTAACATCATTTGCAATGCTGTTAGCGTACAGGGTTCCAGACATGTTGGCAGGGCCCAAATCAAGCGATGGGGGTTGCTGTGTAAAATGAGGAGTGATGATGCGGACGCAAGTATGTCTTAAAAGTGAAGCAAACATAATTTGAACGTGGGGCAGAGCTACATATGCGAGGGACGGGCACACATACTTGGAGGGTATCTTTGGGGATGACGGCGGTTGTTGGATGGTGAAACCTCATAGTCTCTAACGCCGCTGGTACCTCTAGAATGTAGATAAACCGAGTGTGGTCACACACGGCCACCCTCCTCGCATCTGGGCTGAGCTGGCAGCGCTTGACACCTGCACCTAATTCGGCATGCTTCAAGTCTAGTTCGGGAACGGTGGCATTGGGCCCAGTCCAAGTCCGGAAGAGATGACCATCGGGGGTGTAGAACAGGAGCTTGTGGCCCTGCGAAGCCGACTCCCAAACGATAAGCCACCTGCCGTCCGAAGACCACACTAGGCCCTGGCAGTCAACGGTGTCAGGGTACCAGGATCTTTGGGCGTCCCACGCTGGCGGTGCATGCAGGCTGATAACATCCCTGCCAGCAGTGCGGGTAAGAACCGCAAGATGGGACGAGCCAGGGCGGAATGAAAGACACCTCGACGCCGACACTGGCTGGTAGAACTTGGGATTGTTTATCTCAACTACCTTGGTGGTGGCTAAGTTAAAAATTGAGAGTTTGATGCCAAGTGAGGAGAAAGCGTATATCGTCCCATCATCAGGACCGAACCGGACGAAGCTTGGCCGATCAGCACTTGGACCTGGAACGCGTATAACGGCGCGGAACCGGGGATCCACAACCCCAAGAACATAGATGTGACTTGCTGTAGCGATGAGAATTTTTGAGGATGACGGGGACCAGGTGAAAGCCAGTATCGGCCCAGCGAGCTCCGAGGCTGTTGGTGGTGTCACCTCATGGACTGTGCGAAGGCTCTGTACAGAGCGAACGATGATCTTGGACAACAGCAGAGTCGCCACAAGCTGTCCGTCCGGGCTAGGGACGGAATGAGTGGATGCTAGGTGGGAGGTTGGTTTCAGCTTGAGAGCAGCATCTTTAAGGAGTGCTAACTTACACTTGAACAGCGGAGAGAAAATCATCTCTGATGGTGCTTCGAGGGATCAGTAGGGGATCCTAATGAGCCAAGAGAATTGCACAGCAATGAATTCTCAGGTGCTGCAAAAGTAATTGTATTGTCAAACGAAGATCTTTGGAGATCAAATGTGCATTGCATTCATTGTCTGGCTGTTCTATGACTGGAATGCCTTGAAGCTCAAAACAAACCTCGACGTATAGTGAAGCGGGGTAGACAAATTTTCACAATAGAGTCAGGGAAGGAGTTGTCATCGTCTTTATATCACAGGCCAATTCCAGATATTTTAGAGAAGGCACAAATTATGGAACTATTCCGGCGGAAGGAGCCTTCGTGATGCTGAACTCGACGTTTCAATTGGAATAAGCAGGAGCATTCCGGCATGTCGCGTCGCAACTTCCCCCGCGCATATCCTTCTCGTTGCTCGGGTCAACTGTTTACACTGTAGTGGGGCTCCAGCCAATGACACCGGGGCTTACTAACTGAATGACATCGCCTCCGAGGGCTTGGGATATCTTTGATTGTTCGAAGGGCGTGGCCAAAGCTGTATCCTCGCCCTCAAATTCCAACTTGCAGTGGTTACTTGTTCATTAACACAACCGCCAGGCGACCCGTTTTGGTGTCGGGTGTTGGGTGTCGTGCGGTATCCAACACTTCAGTTTGCGATAACCTATCCAATCGTCAGTCTAGGGCATCAGACGCCTGTTCCTGGCTTGGGTCAGCCTTGTGACTTGAGATCCTATCTTCATTCTATTCCTACTCCCATACTATGTATGTGTAGCGGATCATCCATCTTTTAGTCGTGCCTCTCCCCTTCTAAGGGTGCTTTAGCGCCCACCGGTGGCGATGCTTCGTGGTACCATTCACCGTTCACGGGCGAGGGTTCGCGACCAGCTCAGACCTTCCTCCAACGCCTCTGGTCCCCTCCTGTCGTGGACATTAAATAGGAGTCTACACCAGACCCGGACCCTTGAAAAACCCGAGCCGGCAACAGTCCCTCAGTCGAGCCAGAGTCTCCGCCGAGAAAATCTTAAATCCGCAAGACCCTTCTCTGACTTCTTGACTGATTCCTTTAATCGCCAACATGACTATCTCCGCATCTCGGTTACCGAAAGGTGTAACCTCCGCTGTGTTTACTGCATGCCCGAGGAAGGCGTCCCATTATCGCCCTCTCGAGAGCTTCTCACCACGCCCGAGATCGTGCTCCTGTCTTCCGTCTTCGTTTCTCAGGGCGTAACTAAGATCCGCTTAACTGGGGGTGAGCCGACCGTTCGTAGAGATATTGTCCCTCTCATGCATCAAATAGGCGCTCTTAGACGCCACGGGCTTCGCGAGCTCTGCATTACCACGAACGGTCTCTCCCTTCACCGAAAGCTCGACAGCATGGTTGAGGCGGGTCTTACTGGGATCAATCTGAGCCTGGACACTCTAGACCCCTGGCAGTTCCAAATCATGACGCGGCGCAAAGGCTTCGATGCCGTGAAGCGGAGCATGGACAAGATATTTGAGCTGAATCGGCACGGCGCCGATATCAAGTTCAAGATTAACTGTGTTGTGATGCGCGGCATCAATGACCGTGAAATCATGCCATTTGTGGATATGACGCGAGAAAAGGATGTCGAGGTTCGATTCATCGAATACATGCCTTTTGATGGAAATAAATGGAACAAGACGAAGATGTTGGGCTACTCGGAGATGCTGGACATGATAAAGGAGAAATATCCCACCCTGGAAAAGGTTCGCGATCATCGAAATGATACGAGCAAGACGTGGCATATCCCCGGTTTCGCCGGCAGGCTTGGCTTCATCACGAGCATGACGCACAACTTTTGCGGCACTTGCAACCGGTTGCGTATTACGAGTGACGGGAACCTCAAAGTCTGTCTTTTCGGAAACGCTGAAGTGTCGTTGCGTGATATCCTGCGGAAAATCAACAACGGCGAGCCCATCGATGAGGAGGCCTTCGATACGATAAAGCAGGTTGTTATGGGTCAAGGCCAGAGTCTTTCCCCATCCGACCACGCCCCAGGTGTGCTTGTCAACCAAGAAGAGCTACTCAATGTCATTGGCATGGCTGTCAAGCGCAAGAAAGCAAAGCACGCAGGTATTGGCGAACTGGAACACATGAAGAACCGGCCTATGATCCTTATAGGTGGGTAACTCCGGTCTATCCCGTTTGGAAATACTCGAGAGATGTATATATATACGCTTGCCTCCTAGCCGCTTTGGTTGGCAGGTAATCTTTGGACTGCATTACGGCCTTCGGCACCTCGCATCTCGGGAAAAGGAGGGAACGCTACGTTCAAGGAGGTTCTGGGACTAAGTACGCCGTGTAGATCCTACTCTTTCTCCTAGATACCCACAACAATCGCGTGGCTTTTTGGCGTCTCCCATGCCACAATCGCTCTGGGCTTCCGATACTATTGGAAGCTCCTTGTTCGCGGGAGATCGGACTCTTAATAGTTCGCGACCCTTCTCGACTACACGCTGTCTACGCCAGGAGGAGGATAAAGAGGCACATATGGTAAAAGCGGCCGCTGTCAAGAAGCTGACTCACGTTTCCGATTCGGGCTCTGCCCACATGGTATCCATCACCGAGAAAGCAGTAACGTCACGCATCGCCACGGCAGTCTGCAAGGTCAGGTTTTCGACAGAGGTAGCCCTCAAACTCATCGAAGAAAACGGCATGAAGAAGGGCGACGTCTTGGGCGTCGCCAGGGTGGCCGGCATTATGGCCTCCAAGAGAACCCCCGATCTCATCCCGCTCTGTCACCCTATCCCGATATCGCATGTCGCCGTAGATCTGTCGCTGGACAAGAGCGGCAACGCGATTGACGTCAAGGCAACGGTGTCGTGCGACGGGAAAACGGGTGTTGAGATGGAGGCATTGACGGCGACGTCTACGGCGGCTCTTACGATTTACGACATGTGCAAAGCAGTTGACAAAGGTATGGTCATTGATGGTTTACGGGTCACGCTCAAGGACGGCGGAAAGAGCGGTAGATGGGAGATGCCTTGATCATTGCCAGGCCTTCTTTTCGTCAGGCAGCTTTAGACACCCACGCCATCAGCGTCCCCGCCCCCAATCTTGGGCTCTGGCCTAGACAGCAGGCGGAGAATTAGACGTTTCACTTGCGGCTCTGTTGAGAGGGGTCTTGCATTGTCCGACCTGCCTCGCTCTTCGTTTCGAGACAAGGATTGCATCTCCGGGGTTTGCTCCTGCCATTCTCATTTCCACCCCGCAGAGACTCCGATCACAAACCCAAGACTGGTCATCTTTCTGGCCGGGTAACATGAGGTGGGGGGTTTAGCATATTTGGTTGGCTAGAGGATGTCCTCAGTAAACTAGGGCGCTGTAGGTCATCGCTAGGTGCATAACGAGATGGGGGAGGGGCAAAAGCGGTCTAATTGAACGGCTTTGACCGGGTTGCAAATGTCACGATGCGAGGGGTTTCGGGATCGATCTAAGCTAAGACGGAGGAGAGGCGAGCGAACTCTTAGGGCAACGTTATGTGGCGATCATTGTGTATGACTACTGCATTGGGGGGTAACGAGACTTGGACACGATAGAAATGGTATGATAAGATCGTTCAAGGCCGAATACAGCGGCCAAGTCCTCAGTGAAGCCATTTCAATCATCGTGGATGCTCAAGACAAAACCTAACTTTCTCGAGACTTACACGACGTTCCTTTCTTGTCTCGTGATCATGCACGCTTATAGTCGCTCGCTTATTAAGAAGGTGAAGAGAGTGAGAGATGCAACTTAAAACGCATTTCATGTGGCTTCCATTCGCAATCCCTTCCCTAGCCTTTTCTTCGAAGACAAAAATACGTATTTACTTCATACGAAGAGTGCACCAAGAAGTTTCGGCTCCCGAGCTAATCTGAAGGGCGGTGAACACCAGGGTACCTACCCCGCAGCAAGTCCGCTCCGCAAATCTCAAGTACAAGGAACAAAGAGGGGGGAGACCCCGTTTCGCTCTTTCCGGGGTTAGGCGCTTTGGATTCAATTTTTTGTTGATGTGCACCATCACATGTGAAAAGTGGGGACCGGCAGAAGCTGATGGACCAGTGGACTCGAGGGATCTCAGGAAAGTAGGAGGGGCAAAAAAGCGGAAATCGGAGGATGTCGAAGTGACCAATCAAGGCGCGGCGATAAGAAAGCTAAGCTCGATGGAGGAGGGGCGGAGGAGGTACGAAGTACTCGACTCAAGTGCTCCACATGCTCCTTTGAAATGCGGGTGATATTTGTGATATTATGGGTTAATAGTACTAAACTACTCAAATTGGAGACCGCAGCTCTTACGAAGTAGGCTTTATTAGAGGTATTATTTTTTCCTCTTTTTTTAGTGTAAGACGAGGAAGGGATCACCTTGTCCGCGGGGGTTCTATTAGTTAAATCCTCTAAATCGTGAAGGAAAAGCAGATGGAGGAAAATTATGAAGGACAGCAGTCTTCCGAAGAGGGACACCGAAAAGGATGTCATTTTCGCTTAATTAATTGGGCTGGTGTCTGTCTCAAGGTAACATTAAACAATGCGCCGCCCTTGAAGAACTCGGGACAGAATTCCTTTGGTCCCGAAATCATCTCCCAACATCTCCGGGGTCTCCGGCTTTCCTCTCGGTACACTACCCGGTCTACACGTAGTACTGGTCGTGTACACTACTACACTAGTAATCAAGAAAAATCAACGGTCTCGAAAGGAGTTGTCATCGAAGATTTAGGCGTTTCCGAGCGGAGAAAAAGAGGAACGAGTGGACGGTTCCATCCCGGTTTAGTGCAGTGAAGGTTCAGAGCTTGCTGCCATGTGTCAAGGAAGAAAAGCCACGCACGGGGCAGAAACTGGACAATGGCAAAAGGAAAGGTGAAAAGGGGGGGAGGTGCGGAGGAGGCCGGAAGAGTTTTGGGGGCTGAGAAGCCTGGCGTCGGGATGAAATTTTATCGCCAGAAGCGACAAGTCCGAAATAATCTCGAGAAATCCGCGTCGTTTTTCGCTCCAAAGAAGTCCCGATGAGCCAAGGCAAAGAAGAAAAAGAAGGCAAAAGAAGAGGCAGATGAATTGCCATCTTCATTGATGCCTTAATAGTTTCTCAGAGAAAAAGGAGAAAAAATGATTTGTATTCTAGCAAAATGCATTTTTTTTTTTTCGCTCGGAAGACATTGGCCATCATCATTTAACCATGCACGTTGACTTGTCACCAATATCAGAAGCCCGCAAAGCCCACACACACCACCTCGAATTATTTCCCCGTTCTCACTCACGATGCAACCCTGGCTTGCAGCAAGGCTGGATGACAGATGGCGTTGTCAAAATAGATGACGTCCCAAAGGTTTAGTCCCCCCTTCTTCAACCACGTTCTAATCTCCTTGCAAAGTGACAACCGGACGGAGGCGAACAGAAACGAGCACTTCAGCGTTCTTGTCGGTGTTCGCCTAGCGCGGCCCTACGGAAGGGGATGGAAGGTTTCTCTAGAAGCCTTCACAGTGTAATGGCAGTTTCCTTTGGGAACGTGTCTGTGGCGTTTCGCGGGAAAGGGGGAAGGCTTCTCCGAGAAACGGTGGCTAAGTTTCTGCAGTTCACTTTTCTTCCCTCCCGGAATGTCGCTGGTCGAGGGAGATGCAGCATTTGCGTCATGGGCTGACATGACGGGCGGCATTCGACGGTCCAGGCTCGGTCGAGGGAAAATGCGACTAGGATTAAAAACGGCGGAGATCGACAACTATCGTGCGAAACGGGATCGGCCGAAATCGTATATCAGGAGCCGGTACCGCACCTACAGCTTCGTACCCTTGAAGAGGTAAGTAACCTGGCTGATCATTCTCCCGAAGCCCTGTGGTGAAAGTTGACGGACGGCATCTGAGAACGAAGGCTGCAGCCGAAGCACCATCTTTGATGATCGCTGCCTAAGATGGAAGGAGAAGCCTAACTATTGCCCGCGGCTCGTAGATTAGAAAAGAAAATCCATGCCGTTTGACATGTTGGATGATTCCTGCATTTTGGGGGGGAAGCCGTTTACGAGGTGAAAAGGCAAACGCCTCAAGTTTAGGGGATAGAGATCGCCTCTGCTTTCGCTACAAATGTAGTGTAGTTTGCAAAGTAGTGTCGTACGCCAGACTTCGCCGTTCTCTGGATCTGGTCCCCTATCACGAGGAGTTAAATTTATGGAGACCATCAAATGTCTGGCATTGAAACCCAGTGAGAACTCAGAAGTCAGCCACTGATAGCACGGTCTGCAGATTCTGAGTACTTCGCGCAAGTGCAGCGTCAACATTGAACCGTTCGAAGCACTTCGGCCGGCTAAATAAACTCGCTTATCAGTACCCGCTGTCTTACATTTGATCGCTCTCGGTTCTTCTGCTTCTCTACTAGGGTTGTGCAGTCCTCTTTGTAGGTCCTCGTACGGCATGGCGATCCGTGGAACTAAACCACGGCCATGAGGCGGAAGCCGTTGTCTACGTAATTCCGTGCTGTCTTATCCAATCCGCACATTGGGAAACAACAAATAGAATAAGAAGCAATCTCCTGAACTAATGACTTGCCCCTAGAGATAAGCAGCCGGTAGACAAGCCTCACAGTTGAGGGCACAAAATACAAAGTAGTAAGAAATCCACCCGGGCGGCACCGTCCACCTTTATACCCTCCTTTTCTGACGAGTCGTCTTTGTTGGGTTTCAGAGAATAGAAGCCACGGCATGATGGAGGGAGGAAAGGGAACAGGATGGATGGCAACTTGAGAAGTGCAGAACGAAGTACCTGTGTACCTCGTACATTCCTAATTTTGGCCCTCGTCCTCGGTTCTCCCGTTTGTGGAGAGGGGTGTTCTCTTCTGGACAGAGGAGCGACCCGAGATGGAGGAAAGGCTGCTCCGAAGGTAACAAAACAGTTTATTACTTGGTGCTATTCTTACTTCGTACTGTGGTGGATATTACTTGGGCGAGCATGCATGTCGCGCTCGTGGTAAAATGATGATCTCGCTAATCCTTGTAAAGAGTCCTCCGACGTCGCACGAGGGGGTGGCTTAAGCTGTGAGAACCAGCCACGAAAAGAGGTGGTGAACTCACCATGCTTTTCAGTCGTCATAGAGTCGCACAAACTCTGTGAGTTTACTTGTACATGTATGTTACGGATTGTACTTCACCATACGGCCGAGACGGAATGACCGGCGAGTAGGAACGAGGAGAAAAGCTACTACTTCGTGCACTGCACTCGACAACTCGATAACTCCTGATGCTATTAAGAGTGTCGTTTTTTGTTGTTGCTCTTTCTTCTCTCTCATCGCGCTGGGAGTCGAATTCGGTTAAGTAACAGGAAGACCCATCACATTTCCTTCGTGAAGTGGACTCCGATCGGAGGTGATAGCCCGGGGTTTGCAGGGTTCCAAGGCGTCCCAAGACCGGGGCCAAGGCAGGGGTCGATCCTGCGTCCCCGGTAGCGCATTATCATATTTCGTAGTTCACAATGAACCACCCACAAAGAATCCCGATGATCAGAATTCATGGCTTCGTAATAGACACCGGCCGAGTGGACGCGGAGTTACCTCGTAGTTTAGCTTCCCCCATCGCCTCAATTTCGAGTTTCGCCGAGGGGTTGGGAAGCAAAGTGCACTGTGCTCTTGGGAGGACGTGCGGTGCTAGGACCAGACGTTTACACTACGAGGCACGCTACGTCGACTTCGACCTCTTGCTGCGGCTAGGTTCGCTCTTGCATCGGTCCGCACATCATCGTTAGACATGCCTGACCTCTGCGGCCGGGAGGGGTAAGGGAATGTGAAGGAGTTTTTTTCTTCCTCTGACGCTTGTCATGCGGATCGGCTTCCGAAAATACTCGGCGGAGGTCTATCAGTGGGAAAGGTTTAGTGTCGTCATAGTTTGAGGGACTTGAAGTGGTTGCTACAAAGTTGACACTCTACGAAGTAAGTTGTTGCTACTATTTCTGCTTGTAAGCCCGCGTGTTTCTTCCTCCACAATTCTCCAAGCAGCAATCTTTCGGTGTTAAGACCGGTACCCCAACTAGAGCTATCAGTGTCTTGCTAAGCTTTTACAATACGGCGACGACTGAATTTTAGGTTTGACTTGTGAAGTTGCAAGACCCTGAACCAAGAGGCTGTGTTTTTGGCGTATCAACATGTATCCACCATCACGATACTGATCAATATTGACTCTCTCTACTTATGATCCGTTGTTCCACCATCACGATCCTTCTCCGTCACCCGCGGCCGTGCTAAACCAAAACTACCAAGACTTGGCGAAGGACACTACACCTCAGGTGTCGCGCAGCCCATCTCGCCGCCCACTCTTTCATCCGCAACAAATACACTAGGCTCTACTTGTACGTATGTTTCTGTTTGGCCGTGATATGCCCGCCGCAGCGCGAATCCAACAATTATATTATTATCCACCTTCCGGCCGAGTCGAGTCGCGTGTCGCCCCAGCCTGACTTTCCCCACGAGTTTGAGGAAGTCTTCTGGCCTTCTTCTCGGCCTGGCTGTTCTTTTTTCGCCTCCACATCTCCTGCCGCAAGGACGTTGCAGTTGCAGACGGTGTCTCTCGGTCCCGCACCGAGGTACACCACGATTCACTCACAGTGTATGAAGTACCCCCGTACCTCAGTACACAAGTACCGTTATCTTAGTACCGTAGTACTGTGCTAGACTAGTTTTGGGGTGGACTAATTACTTCGTACTTGGTCCTGCGTAGTGCGGTACCAAGTATTATTAGCGTAGTTTAGATACGTACTTCGTACTCGTGCCAAGCCCACCGACCCGCCAATTGCCGCAAGTGTTATACGCTTTTATTGCGACCCTGGCTTTTTTAAGCCCACTAGGCCCGCTAGCGGTCCTGGTCGCTCCTGCTCCACCATCCACTCCAACCACAGTCCAACCCAGTCCCAAACCCACCCACTAATAAATCCCCACTGCGCAATAATAAGCAGGCCCTCACAGGCCCAAATCGAGGTCCTTCTTTCCGCCAAGCGAAAGCGAGTCCCATCGACGCCCGTCAGAAAGAGGGAAATCCCAAATAAGGCCCCCGCCTCCTTCCCTCCCCAAAAAGCAGAAGAGGGCCCCCAGAACAAGAAAGTGCCAAGTACCCACGGTCTTTCCTTCCCGCCTCCGTTTCATCACCTTGATAATCTCCCTCAGTGTGTGAGACGCGATAAGTGTGTCTTGTTACGATCTCCTCACATCCCTTCCCTCCTCCATCTCTCTCTCTCCCAACCAACGATCGGATTCGCGCCCGACGCCAACGATCTTCCTTTTTAAAAGCGACGACTCGATAAAATCCGTTTAATCAATTGGCGACGTCTGCTGCTTGGAGTTTTTCCTCTTTTTCTTCGAACCTATCACACCTAATTTTCGGTGCACTCTTACACGAACTTGGCAATTTCGCAAAGAGCAACAAGCCAGTCGCAGCTCACTTGCACCTTCCTCCCTTTTCCCTCCTCGCCCGCCCTTCCTCTTCACCTCCGACACCCACCACAGGGAAATTCTCCCCCCAAACACAATATTCTTTGGGGACTTTATTTCTTTCCGTTGATACCTTTTTTCCCTTTCCCTCGTAATTTTCTGAGAACACCGATCCCACGCACGCGACCACCTTCCGACCATGGCCACCGACCTCATCATGCCTGCTGTCAACGCACAGCAAGGCTATCCTCAGTTCTACCCCAACCAAGCTCACCACACTCAGTACCAGCACCAGAACCACCACCGGTCGCAATCCTACCAGATCCCCCAGAACGGCGCCAACTACACAGGTGTCTCCTCCCTCAGCAGCAGCGGCTCGTCTGGCCACTCCCCGACCTCGCCCAAGACCTATCACACCCGCCAAGCTCGGCCGCTCTTCATGCCTGCGGCGCTGCGACCGAACGAGTTCCCTTCGAAGCCCATACCGACTCCCAAGACTTCTCGCTCGGAAGACAACTCGCCCGTCGGCAGCCTTACGCGATCCAATACCAGTCTTCTCGGTTTCGCGGGCTCCGCTATGTCGAGGTTAACTCGCCGATCGACCGATGATAGCAGCAAGACTTTCGAGGACGATGAGCTGGATGTCGGTCTGTTCCCAGACGTGACCGCGATGCCTACGAGGCAGCATTGGAAGGTATGTGTCGAGTTTCTACGCGGGGTCGGCGAGGGATTTGTCGTTATACCCAAGCCTTCCACTTAGATGGGGTTATACACGGAGCGCGATGGGTCTAGACATGAAGAAGAGGTCTATATCGACAACGTGACACGTTTGTCTCGGATCTTTATTTCTTTGCCCGACGACGTGCCTCGTGTGGCTGCCTCATCGACTCACCCTTATCTCTGAGACATTACTGCCCAAACCAAACAAAACAAAGCATGTTTTCTAATCAAAAACCTGCGCTTTCTAGCCTGATGCCGCCTCAACGGTATGCGACGACCCAACCTGCAAGCGAACCTTCGGTTACTTCACGCGCCGCCACCACTGCCGCCGCTGCGGCAACATCTTCTGCGACTTCCACTCGAGCAAGGTAGCGCCCCTCGACCAAGACGCAAACTACAACCCCCGCGGTACGCTCTCGCGCTCTTGCAACCACTGCCACGCCGAGTACCAATCCTGGAGGAGCCGCAACAGCAGCCGCAACTCCAGCTCAGCTTCCTCCGAGGCCGCGGCGGGAAGTAACAACAACCACCTCATAGATTCCAAGGGTCCTGTTAATCCTATCGCTGCGGCCGCCTCGGCGTCCGAGCCCGCACTGGCGGGGTTGGGCCTGGCGAAGGGTGCGAGCGTCGCGGCCAGTGTGCCGAGGGACTGGAATTGGAGCACGTTTTGAAGAGGAAAGCAAACAGAAAATTGAGCTTTCAGGGAGCTACCTTTTTCTGGGCCTCGAAAATCACGAAATGCACGAAAGGAGTTGTGGAATTTTCTTGCCGCGTTTAATCCTCTACGCACCTCACGCGAGCACTCCCCTTTCCATGCCAACCGACGATCCAGCTGATATTGTCACGATAATTCCGGCGGCTTCCAACGGGCGTGGCGACGACGGCGAATACGGAGTCCTTCCGAGTCGGGGTTAGCTCCAATATGAAATGGATAGGAAAACGCGTTCTCCGGACCTCGGCTACCTTCTCCCTCTGGCAGTTCAGCCCTCCCCCGGCAATCCTCGTTTTACACTGCACTACCACTAGGTAATTAGCCACCTTCTCCAAAGTCCCAAATCCTGGGGATTCATACAGGCGCCAGAACCCTGTATTTCCTTTATGTCTCCACAACGCTAACAGTGCCCCGTTTCTTACCAGAAGATGGAAATATTTCTGATCCAAATTCAGAAGGTACTGAGAAGAAAAAAAACTCAAACCTCTCTTTCCCCTAGTTTGGCAGACTAGGGCAAATCATTTCCCAAAAAGGGTACGGCGAGCGGATACCCTCTCCAGTTGGTCCGCGGGAATAAAGAGAGCCAGTGGGCCACCCTCTGCTCTCCCCTTCAGCATACACTACGAAACACCCAATCGTATCGACGCCGTATGTAATACCGAAAGAACGCCGCTTGGGGAAACTTCTTCTTTCCTTCTTTCCCACAGACCTGGTCCTGTTCCTGAAGGCAAAAATCAAAAAGTGGAACCCCGTGGGGTGCTATCATCCTCTTGAATAGTGTCGAGGATAAGGCAAGTCCTGTGGGCTTGCTTCATACGACTCCACTCGGCTCACATGGCAGTGTGGGCTAGTGTTTTTTGCCTCCTATCAGTGGTACGAGCCGCGTCGTCGTCCTCAACGCGTACGCGAAGACTTGTCTGGCCTCTGGCCCTCGGCGAGTCGGCACCGCAAACCAAGATATGCCTCAGTGCTGTCTTTGAGTTTGCTCCTTCTTCATCCTCATTGTTCTTCCCAACCCGCAATTAGACTTGTTCTAATGGGTTTGCCCTTTCTTGAACGGCCGTTCTCCATAGCATACATCTGTTTTTATTTATTCAGAGGCCCTTTTTTGTGGCCTCTCAGCATTCAGCGCGGAGTTCTAGTTGATAACCTGGTTTTTCTTTTTCAACACTCATGAAGCATACATTGACGGTTTCTTCTTAATATACCCTATCTTTTCTTCTTCCCAGTCAACCCCGTTGTTCTTAAGACTTTTTTTTTCATTTATTTATTTTTTTTATTCATTTATTACTTCGGTTCCTTTTAATGTCCGGTAGACTGGTGGATATTCCCAGGAGAAAACAAAGGAAAACGATACAGGCGGATATGGACCAAGGGAAAGGAGATATCGGAAATGGGTAGGGATGTCCGGGGGGAGGACATCGAGGACGGAAATCTTATAGAAATATAGAGAGAATGGACGGCTCAGTTGCTTTGAACAGTTTTTGATCTCTTTTTTCCTCTCCCTCTCTCCAAAGTGACCTACTCACCTTCGTATGATGGAATTCAGGAGCAAGGAGGAAGACACACAACCACTCCATATCGCACCTTATGGGAGGCTCTCTCTCCTCCCCAACATTATGGCAATCGCAACTCATCCGAGGAAAACAGTTGTGAAAGAAATGATTGGATTTCATCGTATCTTTAATACATAAACCATAAGTGTCCCCCCATAGCCATCTATCGAATTGAGCCCCTTCTCCGAATAAGCTCTTTTAATACACTTGAACAAATCCCTTCCTCCCCCAAAGTTCAAAAGATGAAAGTTGTTTTTCTTTTCCCACCCTTCCGTAAAGCAGAAATAAATCTCGAACAACTTCCACTAGTCGGTGGAGTCTTTTTTTGCTTCCGCCCAAAAAGATTCGCAAATAAATCGCTTCAAAGTATGTTTTGTGTTAGGCCGATTCCCGGCCTTTTGTCCCGTTTCCCCTTTCTTCTACCCACCATCTTCCAAAGTGGAGTATAGTTCATTGCCGTGTCGGGGCATGTTGTACAACCACCACCGTCCGGATGTCCGGGGCGCACAGCCCGGATGGGCCCATTTTTAAATCACCCTAGCAGACATCTTCGTTTATATCTGCGCTTCTTCCCCTCCTCCCCCTTTTTTCAGATTTAAGCCCTTCGGGCACTAGACCTCGTGCGGCCATTACCATTAGCCTTAGTCGCAGGCTTGACATCCTCATCCTCATCCTCGACAGCCTCCTCACTTCCATTGCCATCACCATACACCTCCCTATTAACCTCCTTGGCGGCATCCCAACCGGCCTTCTCCGCCCTCTCGACGTTGCTCATCCTCCTCTGCGCCGCACTCTTGCCCTTGACCCTGGCGGCGTCGGCCTTGCCGCGGCGGAGATAGCTCTCAATGAAGAACTTGACGAAAAGATACGTCAGGGGCGCGAGGTAGAGCACGTTGAGCCAGATGGCGAAAGTGGCGCCGTTGGTGTTCACGCAGGGCTGGACCACGTATGTGGTTTCCGTACGGGTGACTACCTGAGGCGATGAAGCATCGACAGCGACAGCGGGTGCGGGAGAGGCGGGAGGCTGGGAGATGGAGGCGGCGGCTTCCGAGACCTTAGAGGCGGCACCGAGGAGAATGCCCTTGAGGGTGTCGAGAAGGATAGAGCCTGCGGTAGCGGGCGCATCAGGGTCGACGGCGGAAGCGGCGGTGACGGCAGCGTCGGCCGCGACCTTGGAGGTGATCGTCTCGGTGATGGTGGTGGTGACGGGGACGATGTAGGAGACGAAGGAGTGAGACATGGCGTAGGAGGCACCGACGAGGAATTGGGTGATTTGCATGGTGGTGAGGGTGCGCTTGATAATAATGGGCACGCGGATGGAGAAGGCGGTAATGGTGTAGTAGGTGTACTGTGGGTTCTCTCGTTAGCTAATTCGATTCTTCGCAGGGCCCATCACACGTCCACCGGAGACAGAGAGAGAATGCACTTACCATCATGGCGTGGATACCCGCATTTACAAAGGCAAACATCCAGATGGGGGCAGCCATGTAACGAATACCCGCCCACATGCACATCATAGCTCCAGCATGATGATACGTCTGCAGAGTCGAGCTCTGCTTGCCCTTGGCTAGGATGATAAAAGTATCAAGCACCTCGTAAAACTTGCTCAGATAGAAAATCCATCCATAGAATGCCAGGCCCTCGTTCCAGATCCTCCCAGGGGTGTTTACGCTGGGCAGTCCCTCGGCGGTAATGGCAGCATCCTGCGCAAGACTGGTCCAGCGGGCCTGCTCGTCGTCATAATAGACGGCATTGCCCAAGCCCGGAGCGCCAGACATCTGGCAAAGGCTGTCCACCGTTCCGGCAAGTCCATTGGGACCAAAGGGATTCGCGACGCTCACCCTCAAGGTCCTGAACATGCCAGCAAAGGTCCAGGCCGAATAGACGGCGAGGAAGACATTGTGAAGCACGACGAACCAGAAGAAGCCTCGCGTCTTAGCAATCGCCCAGGGCTTCTTGTTGTTAGATCTGTTGTACGCATTGCAAGCCTTGGCGGTCACGGCGTACAAGGTAGCGATGGTGATGGGCACCCTAGGGTCGAGGGCGGCATTATAGATGTTCTCGGGAATAGTAAAGGGCGGCGGCGAGGGGAGGGCCGTGTTGCCGGCTTCCGGGGGAGGTAGCGAGGCCGGTTGGTTGCTGGGCGGGAAGCTGAAGAGGGACGAATGGGGGAGAGAGGCGAGGACGGAGCTGAATTCGAAGGCCATTGTGACGGTTTGCAGGGTGCAGGGAACTTGTGGTGTGTGCCAAGTTACGGCCAGGGCGTGGTAGAAAGGGATGCTATCGAAACTGGGTCGATCAAGTCGAATAATCGAACAATGATCGACTTGGGCTGGGGGTGTGTTGTGTTGTTTGAGCCTAGTGGGCACGCGACAGCGCCGTGCAGACACACACGCAACTGACTTGAGTTTGACAGGCAAGGCTGGGTTGACTCGAGTGCCACTAACAAGGGACAAGGAGGGAAGCTAAGCTGTTGAAGCCGCACGGGAAGAGTGTCAATTAAAGAAAGAAGAGGGGGGAGAAAAAGAGGGAAGAAACAGAAAAACGAATTGGAAAATGAGACTGGAAGAAGAAGAAGAGACAAGCGGGAGTTCACTAATAGAAAGGGCTGGCTGAATCCGAGGACAGAGGACGGGGCAGGCGCAGGAGGAAGCAAAGCTTGTGCCAAGACCTTGTTGGCTCGTGGGCTCGTGGGCTCGGGGCCTGGACCGGTGGTTCTTTCCCTCACTTTTTTTTTTTTTTTTTTTTTTTTTTTTTTTTCTTGGATATTGTTGACGTTTATGTAAATTTGTTGCGGTCCCGCACTCAAATGTACCTTTCAATCGCAGGCGGCGGGTGCCAGTTACCCGGCATCAACATGCAGCAGAGGTCCGTGACGTGAATTCTCCACTGCTCCTCAGGTCGTATTGCCGTTTCCGGTTCCACCCCTCGCCCGGCACATGGAAGGATCTTCTCTGATCACGGATTGCCCAATGCAGCTTGTTCATGATGTTATCCCCTTGATATCGAGATAGCATCGAGAAATTGTATACACATACTCTACGAAATCCAACATTCCGGACCGATTCTCTTTTACTTTCAGGTGCTTCACTCCTGTAGAACTCTACTTCCCCCGACGGAAACCGTTACGTGTAGCGCTACTACTTGACGATCCTTACTTGCGTCGCTCAGATGTAAGTCATCAATTGATCTATTTCGCATGATTCGCGGCCGAGGTCGATCGCGCAAAGAGATATGGATGATGGCCGGCGGTATGGCAAGGTTGACTGGTCCCCGAAGCTTAAGTGTACCTGTGGTGTAAGCTGGGTCTTAGTGTTCCCAAATTGATCCAACATTGAAAACCTACGCCAGTTTGTGTTGGGCCATACTGATCTTCAGGATTGTGGCGGCTTACAACCAGACAAGCCAACAAACTTCAAAAGGGGGAGGGTTATTTCCCTCCCCCTCAGCGGAGGTCTGCCTCGGAGGAAGGAGAGGACATCCAAAAGGGACACATAAAAAAAGAATCTGCCCCTCCAAACAGCCTATTCCAGTAATTCAACCCGTGCAGTGGCGCACTCGTAGGGCTGCACGGTCGAAAGGACATTGAAGTTTGACAGGTTTTCCCAGCAGAGCAAAAGTGTTATACGGGAACCGCCGGGAGACATCCCAAGAAATTCTAGTGCCCCGATCGAGCCGAGGCAGCTTGTGATTGCCTTTTTAACTTCTGATACTCATTAACATCATCTTAACAAATCCCCCTATCGCACAATCGCCGAGGTTTCCGAGCGAAGGGACAAGAAAAAAAAAATATGGCAGGTTGTCTCGATTTGCGTATTCGCTTGCGTTGTTGTTGGTGGTCTTCAACAAACGACGATGCTTGTCTCGATTTTGTTGAGGTTTCTAACCCGAATGGGCGGACTAAGCGATATATTCGCCGTTATTGGCTGGAGCTGTGTCCCCCAGGGCTTGGCACAGGTACAGGTAATGATGATTATTGGGCTTTCCGCCGGTGCCCGCTGAGCTGCAGTGATACAAAAGTACTTGCCTCGTGCGGGATGTACACATTGACACTTCTTCGCAGCGCAGTGCACACAGAGATACGCTAAATAGTAAGTGCCGCCAATCGTGGCTGGACCTTGGACTGGGCGTCGGGAACTCGAAGGACGGAGGTAGGAGGGTTGGAAGAGTCGGAAATATCTCGAGATGCACTCGGACGATCTGTCCAATTCGTCTCGTGAGTGGGAATTCTCGATTGGGATATGAGCCAATTATTCAATTGGAGCTTGGCTCTGGCAGCAGGTGATTTTGAAAGCATGAAAGCACGAAAGCACCTGCACCCAATCGTTTTGACCTGGACGAGGTAAACAGCGGACTTGGCAAGTCGGGAATCGGGAATCGGGATCCATCCATGTTCCGAGATTACAGTCGCGATCTTGTGCCTGACTAATAAGTTCAATTGGAGCATGAGCGATAATCATGAGGTCATGATTTTTCATTCCTCAATGCAGGTCGCAGCTCCCCAGAGCTTCAGCAGGGCGGACGTCATTAACACACGAAGTCAGAAGTAGTCGCCGTCTCTTCAACCCATGTCGCCTATTCTATCCCACAAGCTGCAAACGAGGTTTGCCTCCCTTCAAGCTAGTCAACAATTCGCTCCAAATCTCACCTCGACGTATCCTCTCGCTCATCAACACCACCGCCTTTTTCTAGCTTAATTTCTTTTCGCGGTTGGTCGGTGAATGAGGGAGATCAGTGTCGTACTGACCCCGCGACGCGCTGATTTCTCGTTTTGAGACAATGACGAGACGATAAGCAGGCATCTTGCTCGAAGTCGCAAACCACATCTCGGCCAACTACGGTCGTCTGACCTGCCAGGTTACATATCATATAATTGAACTAGTTTAGCAACCCAGCAGGAAACGCTGAGACAGCTGTTCAAGAGAGATATACTTCGAATTTCGCGGACCAACAACTAGAGCGAGTAACACCACGATATCATAGTTCGCGCGTGCTTCTTCAGAAAAGTCCATCCTCAGTATGGAAGAATGAGAGACAACAGATAAAGAAAAGAGAGAAAAGAGAGAAAAGAGAGATCAAAAGGAGAGAGGAAAGGGAAAGGAAAATAAGGGCAGAGAAGAGAGAAAATGTCAGCTTACGCCTTAATAACCAGTTAACCCCAGGATCTTTCCTAGAGCGTGTAATTGAAGGACTTGTTTTCTTCAGCCTCCGCCAATTCCCAGCTCTCCCTTCTTCTCACCGTCCCAGAAGCGAATAGTGCAACCTCTTGTAGCTTCCGGCTAGGCCTTCGAAAGAGCTTAAACTAAGCTCTGTTCTAGGACTGTTACGTGGGCGTAGACAACCGGAAGACTCCATCGGAATAGCATGATAGTGGAATGGGAAACATGCCGAAAGGGTAGATTAGTTAGAAAGCCGACTTCAGCTTGAGGATTCCAACTACCATAGCTAACTTTCTCTAGCTTTCCCGAGCTTTCTCATCTCGTCTCATTCCTCGCTAGTATAGCTGCCCTGAGTTGCCAGTCTTCTATCATCCCATTGGGCCGCCTTCGATCCTCTGCACACCTGTCTATCTAGAATCTCCACTGAGTAAAACTCGTCCTACCCCTAGTGTCCAAACTGGCGTCTTCACCTGGGGAGACTGTGGTAGCATAGGGCGGTGGCTTGCCCCCCAATTCTGACATTTGGCGGTTGACACACGGTCCGCTTCAGATGGATGGTGTGGACGGATAGCTCAGTTTTCAGGAAGAATGAAAACGGGACAGTCTGTGAAACCCACATCTCAGAATAGGGCCTTCTCGAGCATATTGTCGGAATCGTGGGGAAATCATCAATCATCATCCCAGCCACTCACTATCCATCCTGCTTTGGATGTTCTCCTGTCGGAGGACTTCGATGTTTCTCCACGGACGGTTCAGACTCCACCTTTCTCTATCCTTCTTTTTCTTCGTCTTCGTCGCCTTCTTCTTTTTTTTCCCTCTTCTCTTTTCTTACTTTTTTTTTTTTTTTCTTCTTTTCCTGTTATTTATCTCTCCTCCTTTCTATCTCTTCTAAGCTCATATATTCCACCGATCAGAATCTATTGCACTGGACAGTTTACCGTAGATCGCCATTCAAATTCGCGGAATTATATATACGCTTACCATGATATACCCGGTCATACATGAGTGCCAGAGAACTTGTTACGAGAATGACGAGGAAATGAAATCGCCCTTCTACCTAACGACGACTCTCTATGATTACTTATGAGAAATGCGTGTATTGACAGTCATCAGAACAGACAATGGTACTTCCAGCTACGATAGTATCATCCTCATCAGGAGTATCTATCGTAACAGAACTTGCGCATTTTCATCTGAGGTACGATTCTTGAATATATTGTGAACCGTGGGGTGTCGATTTTCCCGGCAGATGCTCGTAGATATATTAAGAGACCGGCAATTGCATTCCCTCAGGCTTATTACAAAACGGACCGTTTCTCGCCATGGCTGGCTGGCACATGTTTCCCCACACAACCTCGGCGCGGTCCGGACCAGGCCGGCCTGACGCAGGAAAACCGGAGGCGTCACATCAACCCGTCCCCGAGCGAGCTTGCATCACCATCCATCCCAAGTCAGTTGCGGCGCTGGACCGGGTAATGCGGACGGCAATCTGCCAATCCCCACCCGCGCTTTCAACTCCCCGCCGCCCCGGGTTCGGTTGAACGCTCATCCACTCCTCCGCTCCTCAACTCATCCTAGTCGACGATATCCATCCTCCGCATCTGAATCATGCCAGAACAATCGGTTCCTTTCGAAATTCAAACCATGTAAAGTGCAGAAAGTTAGCAAATTCACAAGCCCATCGATGATGCCGCCCTACAGGAACCCAGTCCCATAACTCTCCCTCCTCAGCAAGGGACCGCTCGGCCTCGAAATCCTCCCGACGGACGGAACCATATATAAAGACTGGACCTCCGTCTCCGAAGGAGAGATCTTCCCCGCACTCTCTTGGTTGGTCGGAAGTCGTATTGGAGGTGTGGGGAAACCCTCCAAGATCGTCCAGGGTTCGATGGCCTGACTGGTGTCGATCAATTGACCAATCAGCCAGCGCGCACGTACCGCATTGTGCTGGCATTCCCCGGATTTGGGTCGGCTTTTGCAGAAGCTCTCGCCAGATCTAGACCAAGCTCCATCTCGCGTTTCTTGATCCAGGTCCGGAGTCCTCCACCTAAGTTACAACGATTGTGGACTCATTGAAGTGGAAGTCCCAATTACACGAGTATATCCATGGCCATTCACCTTTTTGAAAGAAACAAGGCTCCTCGAACTCCTCCCAACCCCAGAAAATGGCGTGGCATAGCTAGCATGGCCCCCTTGATACCTCATGATCCCCAAAACGGTTCATCCATCTCCAAATCAGGAATAGCACAGGCACTGAAATCGTCCTATCAGGTCCACGCTCCCCCGCAAAAACGGGATCAACGGACGGACCTGCTTTTTTTCTCCCCCCAAAACGAACTTATACCTCGCTTCATCGTTGGTTTTCTCCGCATAGTAGACGACAGGTTATTAGTGGCATGTGAATGGGAGTTTCTCTTGTCTGCGTATCTAGAACATTGATATATCCCGCCTTCTTTTCCCGGCTCTGATTTGGGAACCAGTTGGATAGACGATAGACATCTTCAATTGGGAGACATCTTTTCTCTTGGAGTTGAGCCATCCATTGATTTCACTTCGTCTCATCACACTGTCCCACCCCTTCCACACAAAGCAACCCCAAAAATGGCTGCCACCATAGCCCCCAACCCACCGAAGCTCTCCACTCTCCCGCCAACAGACTTCTTCACCGACAAACAATGGTCCATTCTCTCCGCCCTCCTAGACGCCTCTCTGCCGTCCATGGCGCCCAAGTCCGCTGCCAAGGACCGGCGCGCGCAGGTCGGGGTTCCCGAGGCCGAGTTCAACCGTGCGCTCGAGCGCCTGAAGCGCGTGCGCGGCGGCGATGTGCCGTCCGATGAGGCGCTGTGGGGCCTCCTCGGCGACAAGTGTGCGGCCGATCCGATGTTTGTGGATAACTGCAAGCGGTTCATCTGTTCGTTCCCGGCAGAGCATCAGGATGCCCTTGGAGATGCGTTGAAGAAGCTGTCGTATGTATACTCTTTGAACCTGTGTTACCGCTCATATCCCATCCTTCTTCTCCCGTTAACACTTCATAGCTCCCGAATCGGTGCGTACATCCTCACGGGCTACTGCACCCCCTACGACACCCTCCCCACGCACACCCGCGCCAAAATCCTCGAGTCTTGGCGCACATCCTGGATCCCGCAACTCCGCGTCCTCTCCAAAACCATCCAACAACTCGCTCAAAAGGCCTACTTCCAAACGAACCCAACCTTCAAGCAACTCTCCGGCTACCCGGACGTCCCACAAGACTACAAACCCGGGCCCGGCTACGACTTCCAGTTCCTCCAATTCCCCGCCTCCTCCGACAACTCGCAAGTCGAAATCTCAGCCGACGTCGTCATCGTCGGCTCCGGCCCCGGAGGCTCCGTCTGCGCACGCACCCTCGCCGAAGCAGGCCACTCCGTCCTCGTCGTAGATAAAGGCTACCACTTCCCCCCCACCCAACTCCCCATGCCGCAGACCGAAGCGTGCGAGTACCTCTTCGAAGGCCAGGGCCTCCTCGCGTCTGCCGACAAGTCATCGTCGTTGGTCATGGGCACGTGCTGGGGCGGCAGCGGAACCATTAACTGGAGCGTGTCTCTCCAGACGCAGGACTATGTGCGCGAGGAGTGGGCCAAGAAGGATGGGCTGCCCTTCTTCACGTCCGAAAGGTTCCAGAAGTGTTTAGATCGCGTCTGCGAGGCCATGGGCGTCAGCGACAAGTATATTCGCCATAATCACGGGAACAGGGTCCTTTTAGAGTCATCGGAGAAGTTGGGCTGGAAGGCGAAGCCGGCGCCGCAGAATACGATGGGGAAGGAACATTACTGTGGACAGTGCCACTTGGGGTGCGGGTCGAATGAGAAGATGGGACCGGCGGCTTGTTATTTGCCGGCTGCTGCTAGGGCGGGGGCCAAGTTTATCGAGGGCTTCGAGGTTGAGAAGGTCTTGTTCGAAGAGGGTGAGAAGAAGACAAAGAAGGCCGTCGGGGTTGTCGGGACTTGGGTGTCCAGGGATAAGAAGGGGGGTGTGGACGGGCCGGCGAAGGAGAAGATTACGAGGCGGGTGGTTGTGAAGGCGAAGAAGGCTATTGTGTCTTCAGGGTCGATCTGGAGTCCGGTCATCTTGAAGAAGAGCGGATTGGAGGTATGTTTCTATGTTATTCTGTCTCCTGAGAGGGCGAGCGAATCAGATACTGACGTTGTGAACTTAGAACCCCCAAATCGGCAAGAATCTGCATATCCATCCATGCAACTTCCTCGCTGCGGCGTTCAAGGAGGAAGTCAAGCCATGGGAGGGTAAGTCCAAGATCCCAAATCAGCCCCTTTAGCAGTCACTCATACCAATTATAATAGGCGGCATCATCACGAGCTACTGCAGCGAATTCGAAAACCTCGACGGCCAAGGCCACGGCCCCAAACTCGAGCCAACCTGCATGGTCGTAAGTTGGCCATCTCCATCTCCCAAACGTTACCATCACCAGACCCAACAAACCAAGAAACACATGGAACGCAACATCCAGCTAACAATATAAACAGCCCTACATAGCCCTCGCCTCCCTCCCCTTCTCCTCCCCCCTCGAAGCCAAACTCTCCACCCTCAAATACCCCCACATGAACTCCTACATCTCCCTCACCCGCGACCGCGACACCGGCTCCGTAACCGTCCACCCCACCACCGGCCGCCCCCTAATCCACTACACGCCCTCCGCCTTCGACGCGCGGCACACTCTCGAGGGCGTCGTGGGCATCGCCAAGCTCTGCTACGTAGCTGGCGCGCAGGAGATTTACGCCTTCGTCCCCTGGCTCGAGCCCTTTGTCCGCTCTACCCCTGCCACCACCGATGACAAGGTCTCCGCCAAGGACCTCATCGAGAAAGATGCCGAGTTCAAGGCTTGGTTGGACAAGGTCCGCGACGCGGGGAACAAGCCCGGCCTGGGCGTGTGGGCCTCGGCGCACCAGATGGGCACTTGCCGCATGAGCAGTAGGGCTGAGGAGGGCGTCGTGGATGCGAGGGGCAAGGTTTGGGGGTGCGAAGGGTTGTATGTTGCGGATGCTAGTGTTTTTCCTAGCGCGAGCGGGGTGAATCCTTTGGTTACGAATATGGCTATTGCGGATTATATTGCTGCGAATGTCGTGGAGGATTTGAAGGGGTAGGGTCTGTTTTCTCTGTGTGCTGTTGGATGTTTGGATCATGGGGAACTGGGCCCTGAGGCTTGGGATGGATGCATTGAGCAATGGTTCGACGTGTTCATGATGGGGGGGTTTGCATCGTGGACAGTCTGTACGTATATCGTGATATCCCTGTAGTGTAGTAAAACTCGGAAATCAATCTATCAAGTGTTTAATTCCCCGGTCCCAAGAACCAAATCTCCCGCGTCCCCATCTCGGAGATTTCCAACCCTCCCTCAATGTCATTTATACGAACTGCTAATATCTGGCCTCTCCCAAAACCACCATCCCAACACCATCCCAAATCTCGGATGGATATTCATATCTTATTGAACCAACTTGCTCTAAAAGCACACTCCCTCCCTCCTCTCCAGTTCCAACCCAATCTCGACCGTCTCCTTTCCTAAAAAGGAAACTCTCCTCCGTCCTTACACCTTCATCCCCCGAACTGCCTCCCGGCATCATTCTTGTCCCGAACCCCGATTCTCAGCTGGGATCTACGTAGTACTTCGGGGAGTCGCCATCGATCGATCTCAATTACGGCCTCATGTTTAACACACACTCCCCCCCCCCAAATCTCAAAGTGGCGTTTTCAACTGCGAAACCGGAGAATATCACCATACCTTTCGTTTCACCTTTACCTTATTACTTTGACCTTTTGTGAAGGAGACACCTTTTCATACACATCATCCTTGAATGACAAAATCACGACTCATTCCTGTCGTGCTCTGTGTGTGCTTCGTACGTGTATGCTCCAAATACCTTCCCAAACACACACAATGCTAGGATCCGGGATTCCGGGACGTAGTAGTGTATAGAATCTGCCTCGCCCTTCTCTCCCCGAAAGTGAAACTCCTTTTCATCTCGCCGCATAAGGACCCCTAAAGTAACGTAACCTCCCTCTAGTCTAACTTGTCGCCCATCTCATGCCACTTGCACGACTGAATCAAGAGAGGCAATCCTAAACCATCACAACGTCACGTCACATTTTGCAACGAGGCAGATTGCCTACTCATGTTTTGGTAAAGCATGCTGTTATTTCGCTTTATTCTTTTTCTTTTCCTAAATTAAGCTATAACAAAAGAGCCGGGTTTCTTCTCTTCTAGATATTGTCCCGTCTTCGGAAAGACCGCCAGGGTTCCCTTCCATTACACGTACCCATATATGGATATATCCAAATTTCCCAGCGCTCATAGGGCACAATGCTTTCGTGACTCGGTGATTTTCCCGGAAATTATGCACTCGGGAAGTCCGGTTCCTCGAGTGCGCTCCGAAATAAACCTACCGATCCGATGCCATCGAGACCGAGACCCTATCCTTCTCCCGCCATCCATCCTCCGGGGATGTGCTGTGCAGAGAGATGTGTGCATGTAGCGTGAGCGAGCGCTGCATGTTTCGCCCCCAGAGACCACCTGCCCGGCGCCTTTCCTCCACCAGTTTGCGCGGTAGTCCTAGTCCACGGCTTCGGTAACCCCCGCCATCAATCCCGGTTGTACCGATGACCCGAAGTCACCTCGCTTAGCCCGTCTCGCAGGCTAGGTTCAGAGGCGCAACAGGTAATATCGTTCGATTCCTTGACGGCCATAATAGGGCGAAACCGAGTCATGGACGGACGTGCAGCACAAACTCCTGTAGACGTAGGCGAAATGCAAACTGTCTCTTAAAGAAGCTTCCTTTGGCTGTCAAGAGTCGAAGCGGCCATGCATCAAAACAGCCTCGGCCCTGCCTAGTGCTTTGTTGTTTCGATGCCCTGCTTAGAGCCCCTTCCCATCATGTTTGTTGTTTTCTGTTTGTATGTCTCGGTTTTCGTTCCTAGTTGAAGTCGCATTCTGGGGGTTCTCGGTTGTGTTGCCATATTCCCAGAATATCGCTCCCTCTCCCGAGAACCCCGGGTATTGCGCGGAAGCTTGGCGAGCCAAGGAAATGTCACCCCAATTCTCTTCCCATCGTCTTCCCCATTGTCCCTCGTCTTTTCCAAGGCCCACCTCGATGAATCACCAAGACAGGGAAACCAGTCCCACCTTCTAGGGATATGAGGCAACGGGCCTGGTCCGAAATCCGAAACCGCGGTTGAATTAATCGTCTCGTCATCGAAAGGGGTATCTCGCTCGCTAGTCGCCATTAGTCGAAATGCGCGAATATCGAAGCCGCTTCAAGGTCCCTTCGTTGGAAATGTGAGAAAGAGAAATCGTTTCTACCGTTTCGAAGTCGTGATGTGGAGGGACATTAGGGGGTATAAGGCATTAATATATCGACCGGTGCCGTCATCGCTGAAAAGGAAATCAAAAGCGAATGGTTCGTAAAAGAGAAAGGGGTGACGGCCCGATGCCAAAGGAAAGAGAAAGGAACAGTCAAAGAAACCGAAAATGTAGATGCAACCAGTGGGTATCCTTTGCACCCAGCTTGACCGAATGGAGGGTATCATGCTCTAAGAAGACCTCTCTTTATACCATGTGAACCCCAAAATATGCCGTGAACCCGTAACTCTGTGCTTAGAAAAGGGACAAAAGAGAGAAAACGACCAGAAAGTATGACAAAAGAAATGATGCAGAAAAAAAATAGAAACAGGAGGCTGAACAAAAAAAAGCAGAGGCTGTCCCGGCAGTCTGGCCAGGCCGTGGTTGAGAAAAGTGTTGCATTGCTGCGATCCTCTTTTTAACGGAGAAGAGAAAATCTGAGGAAATGGGAAGGAAAATGGCAAGCGCCAGAAACAAAAGGAAAATGGGGAAAGGAAAAAACAAAAGAGAGATAGAAAGACCGCTCCCGACCTGCAAACCCATAAATCGATCCTGTGGGGGGGATGTCCTGCCCTTGCCTTCCAAATGCCTTCATATCGGCATAAGAACTCCTTGTATGCCCGCTGCTGAGATCCAAGCCTGCGATGCTACCAGGCGTGTGCCGGTTTCCATCGGAGACTTGCCACTCGAGAGAGAACATCCAGCGCGGCAGCCGTTTGACGAATCCGTGAGACCTCCTGTGTCATTTGTTTCCCCGGGTATGTGAGCCGAAAAGAAAAAAAGAAAACCAGACACTCGCTCGCTCCGTTGCTCCAGTCCTCGGCGATGCAACCCAAAGAAGAAAAAAAGAACAAAAACGCCTTGATGCATGTATGCCTCTTAAAACCGTGTGTGCGGGAATCGATGTATGCCGTCAACAGTAAGAATAGTGCGCCATACCAGTCCTCTAAACCTTTTTTTCTCCGGGAAAATAAAACGAGGTGGGATTGTCCGAGGGCCAGGATTAAGTGTTTGGGGGTATAATTTCACGAGGTCGTAACCGGGGGATAATCGTCTTCAGCAGCGGGCGCTGGTTGTCACATTATCGAGGTGTACTCTTGGTAGCGATCCCAGCCTACGTTGCCGTAGCCCATGCCGACACCGCATTGCGCAGGCGCCAACATGCTGGGTAGCGGTAGCGGGGCGGAAATGCCAGTGGTAACAGGCGGTGAGCTGTAGAAGAGTCCGGGTGATGTGAAAGGAGCACTATATGCCGGTGTCGGGGAAGGAATTTGCACTTCGCTCATGCCCATGGTTGCCCAGAGAGAGTGGGTCGAGTCTCCAGAAGTCGAGGCAATACTGGGGCTTGAAGGGAGAATCCTCCAGGCCTCAACTGCAGGAAGGTTCGCCGCGGGCGTGGGATGAGCCCACATCGTCATGTTGGCCGGGGAGCTTGGCAGAAGGGGAGCTTGTCGAATCGGCTCAACGATTTTGGGCGGTGGGGGAAGCAGCGGCTTCATGAGTCCTTCGATGGCGTTCTTAACTTCTTCACTCTTGCCGCAGAGCAACTCGCCCACACCTCCCTCTTCTAGTCCCTCGAGAGCGGAAACATGAGTTCGGTAGACAAACTTATTGATGGCTTGCACAAAGTCCTCGTGGAGCTTCTTGCACTGCTGCTCCTTCTCGGGCCAGTCGTACGTGTTGGCTTTGGTGTCGATGCAGAAGATGTCCTTGTGGTACTCGACGAGGGCCTCGATGGATTCGACGGTGAGCTTGAATGCGACCTCGTTGCGGAGGACCATGTCGACGTGTACGATGTAGGCTTCGATGTGGAGGAGCTGGTAGTTGAAGAGGGCCTCGACGAGGGGATTGGCGTCCTTGCGCAGCTCAGGCTCTGGCGCCTTGGGAAGCATGATAGACGCTAATGTCCAAGTGGCGTCGGGCGACGAAAGGATCTCGGTTAGGCACCTCTGGTGTTGTGGGACACTGTTGAGAGGACGCTTCACCCGGTTGACGCGCTTGAGGGTCTGAGTCAGCCAGGGCTCAACCTTGGAGCCCAACACAACGTTGACGGAGGAAGCCCTAGGAGCAAAGGCCGCGGCGGAGGCGGGTAATAGTTGAGGAGGCATGGTGATCTGATTTGAAGTTGGAGTGGAGAGGATGAGGGCGGAGGGAAATACGTCGGTTCGGACCACTGGTGTAAGCGTCGAAGACCTGTTCCCAAGGAAGGGAGGTATCAAAGACAAGGTGGCACTAGGACCAGGAGAGTATATATAGTTGGCAAGCCAAGCTGATATATGTCCTCGTAATTTGGGGGCGAAGTAAGTTAGGCCTAGCTCTTGTGTTGTGTGTGTGCCGTATAGACAAGTGCCTATGCCTTCGAGAACCGGGAGACAGGTACGCGGGAGGACCAGGGGCTTGGAGGGTGGCGGAAACGGGCGAGGACGGGGGAGGGGAGGAGGGTATTTCTAAGAAAAAAAAAGAAGAGAGGAGCGAAAAGAGAAACAAGAAAAAGGTATTGTAGAGTGGTGACGGTGCTGGCGGCTCTGAATCAAGAAATTAGTCTACACGCCCTGCTACCGCTTGAAGAGGGTGAAAGAGAAGAGAAGTTGGACGAGGTACTCGTGAAGAAGGAAAAGGGAAGGACAAGAGTGAGGTCGGGACGAGGGTGGGTGGGCTCGTGATATAGATGGGGTGGAAGGGACAAGGGAGGGGAGGGGCGGTAGAAGGCCCGGAATATGGGAGGCGTGGGCCGTAGAGGTAACGACA